CACCCGGGCCACCCCTCAGCGGGCACTGGAGGGGCCCTGCTCCCCCCGCCTTTGCCTCCCTGTCTCACCTGCCGTGCACACGTGCCCTCTGCCCGTTAGACCCAGTTCATGCGCAACATGCAGCTGGGCCGCGAGCCTCCCTGCAGCCAGGGTCTGTCTCGACGTCCACACGGGACCTGCACACGAGGGGAGCAACTCATCTTTGTTGAACTAGAACTGGGGGGCCACGAGCTAGCGAAAGCAGTCAGGGGTATTGAGTAAATGTCCACCTAATAACCATCTGTTTGGCAGTAATCCACCTTCCAGGGAGGAGGCCAGAGCGCTAAGTGCCCCCAGCTGGTCTTGCACAGATGTGCTCGGTAGACCCCTGAATGAGGCGGTGGACGAGGGGTGGACGCTGTGAGAGCAGCTCTGGGAAGGGAGAGCCAGGGTCCCTGGAGGGGAGAGGGCTTCCTGAGAAGAACACGCGGTGTGTTAGAGGAGACAGGAGGGCGTGTTGGGAGGTGTAGGCGAGGTGAGAGGCTCATAGCAGGAGCTCTGGAACCGTGCTGTGCTGTGCTCCCCCACGCTACTCCACCTCAGACAAGCCACCTAACCTCCCTGTGCCTCGGTTTCCCCATCTGTAAAATGAGCTTCTTCATAGGCCCATTGTGAGGGTTCAGTAAATCACTGCACATGTAGGACTTAGCACAGCACCTGGCCCATGGTGGGTGCCGGGCGCCTGCCGGGTGGTGGCAGTTCAACTGCAGGACGATGGCAGCGTGTCCAGGGGCGATGGATGAGAAGTCTGAGCAGGCAAAGTCTTGGAGGATGAGCAAAGGAGTGGGAGTCCTGAGTGAGCATTTGTGCTCCAGGAACTGCCACCATCCCCCAGCAGGTGTCCCCCCCAGCAGGTGTCCCACCCCAGCAGGTGTGTCCCCCCAGCAGGTGTCCCCCCCCAGCAGGTGTGTCCCCCCAGCAGGTGTGTCCCCCAGCAGGTGTCCCACCCCAGCAGGTGTGTCCCCCCAGCAGGTGTGTCCCCCAGCAGGTGTCCCCCCAGCAGGTGTCCCACCCCAGCAGGTGTCCCCCCCCAGCAGGTGTCCCCCCCAGCAGGTGTGTCCCCAGCAGGTGTCCCCCCCAGCAGGTGTGTCCCCCCAGCAGATGTCCCACCCCAGCAGGTGTGTCCCCCCAGCAGATGTCCCACCCCAGCAGGTGTGTCCCCCAGCAGGTGTCCCACCCCAGCAGGTGTGTCCCCCAGCAGGTGTCCCCCCAGCAGGTGTGTCCCCCCAGCAGGTGTCCCACCCCAGCAGGTGTATCCCCCAGCAGGTGTGTCCCCAGCAGGTGTCCCCCCCCAGCAGGTGTGTCCCCAGCAGGTGTGCGGTGCTTCCGAGGGCGTGGCACTGCCCCCGCCACCCCCCAAGTATCCACAGTGCTGCCCGATGCTCCTGCCTCCAGGGTCTGGGGCCGAGGTTTGGGTCCTGGTCCAGCCCGGGCACCTGGACTCAAACCTGTGCCGGGGGCCTGGCCCCACCTCCCAGAATTACTTATCACAGCCGGTGGAGAGAACGTGCCCCCTGTGCCCATCGAGGAGGCCGTGAAGATGGAGCTGCCCATCGTCAGCAATGCCATGCTGATCGGGGACCAGAGGAAGTTCCTGTCCATGCTGCTCACCTTGAAGGTATGTCAGGGGGTCTGGCTCTAGGGGGGTGGGTGGTCTGTGGGTCTGGCCCAAGCAGAAGCCATGCTCAGCCAGGACACATCTACATCTCGAGACTTTATTCTGGGATAGCCTGTGGGCTACCTGAACAGGGGCAGGAAACACAATTGGTCACATGCTGCTGTGATGACCCATTATGGTCCAGCTCAGCCCGGCTCCCCCGGGTTGCCGCCCTCACTCCCCCGCTCAGATGCTCTGAGCCTAGGCTGCTGGGCGGGGCCGGAGGGGTCCCTGTTCTAGCCCATGGTTTTATTGGCTGAGGTGCTGCTAGGTGCCCTTCCACCACAGGCTGTCTCTGAACAGAGCTCATGGTGACCCACATCCTCCGAGACCGGGGCTTGTGTCTTGTGGGGTGAGGCTCGGGTCTGGTCTGACCTCTGGCTTTTCAGTGTGTGCTGGACCCAGACACCTCCGAGCCGACGGACAGCCTAACTGAACCAGCTGTGGCCTTCTGCCAGAGGGTGGGCAGCAAAGCCACCACTGTGTCTGAGATCGTGGGCACCAAGGACGAGGCCGTGTATCAGGCCATTGAGCAGGGGATCCAGAGGGTCAACAAGAACGCAGCTGCCCGACCCTACCGCATCCAGAAGTGGGCCATTCTCCAGAGGGACTTCTCCATTTCGGGTGGAGAGTTGGGTAGGGTTTTTTTTCTTGCTTGTTTGTTCTCGCTATTCGAGGGGCCGCGTGGGAGGGCAGAGGCCACGGCAGAGCCTGGGAGGAAGCCCAGCGCAAGCACAAAGCCACAGACAGCCCCCTCCTTCTGGCAGGAGGACACGTTGCCCGGTGTGCGGGCTTGCACCCGGGGAGAGCCAGACGCATGCACTGAATGTGTGCTGGAGCCTATTAATTTGAACATAGAACCTTTAACTTTGCTTTGACTGGGGGGCCATTTTCCCCTGCAATCACAGCGGGACCAGGAGGCAGACCCTAAGGCCCTGTTAGTGTTTGGGCTGGAGTCCCCTGGCTCTAGGAGCTCAGCTCTCGTGCAGGTGAAGGAATGAAGCCCTTTTGGACCGTGGTCCACAAAGCCAGGAAAGGCTGCGGTGCAGCCTCAGCTGGACGGAGGAAGTCACTCTTGGCTGAAGCATGTGGGGTGTTCGCGGCCAGGGGGGGCGGGAATGGCTTCTGGAACAGCCTCTGGCCAGCTTCCAGAGGTGACTTTGAAGTCTCCAGTTACACAGCCGAGTGTGTTAGTGCAAAATGGCCTCGAGCTGCCCCCAAGCTGAATCAGAGCCCTTGCGGCCATGCTTTCGAGGGAAGAACCAGGGCCAAGAACAGGGATTTGGGAAAGACCTCTCCCAGAGACGTCGGACGAGGTGGCGCACCCGGTCTGCCCCCGGCTGGTCGGGCAAGCCAAGCGTAACGGTCCACGTCGTGTGCGCGGTCACGGGCCGTTCACCCATTAGCTACTGTTGTGTAACAAATTACCCCCAAATTTAGCAGCTTGACACAGTAATAAGCATTTATTATCTTGACTTCCGTGGGTCAGAAATCCAGGGCAGCTTAGCTGGGTGGTTCTGGCTTGGGGTCTCGTGAGGTCACAGTCGGGACGTCGGCTGGATGGCCGTCGCCCGCTCTCGACGGCGTGTTGGCCGGAGCCTTGTCCCGAGGCTGCCTGTGCGCTCCCAGCAAGGCGGCTCGCCTGCCCCGGGAGGATCCGAGAGCCCAAGACAGAAACTGTACTTCTGTGGGTTCGTTTGAGCGTGAGTCACCGATTCACCAGAAGACAGAACAGAAAATACGCGGAGGATCAGAAACGGGTGCAGGCTAAGGAAGGCAGTGCCTCCTGGTCTTTCGCGACCCTCAGCACACACCTTCCTGGGCTTCTCAGCAGCCAGGCCTCACTCCCTCTTTCCAATCGCTCCTTCAGGTCCCACAATGAAGGTGAAACGGCTCACGGTTCTGGACAAGTACAAAGACATCATCGACTCCTTTTACCAAGAGCAGAAGAAGTAATCGGGGCCATCCTCCCAGTTTCCGCTGAAGATGGCAGGCCTTTTGGAGGTCATCCTGGGCTCCGGGTCCCCCTCGGTCTGGGCACACTGATGCCCAGCAAGGTTGTGAGGTCTCCGCATCCGGCCACGGCACTGGTGTCCACATTTACCGGGTCTGGCACCAGCAGATGATCCCAGAAGCTTCACGTGTGGATAGTTTTAAGCATTGCTTTTTGTTCAGGTGACAAATGACATCAGCTCATTTGTCATAAAGGGCGGGCTGCTGGCTCGTGTAGGGGAGGATGGAGAGGGACGGCCAGAGTTACTTGGCGCGCCGCAGGAGAGCCCACGGTCAGGCCGACCTCCTCTGGACCCACGGCCGCTGCCCACCCCGCTGTGCCAGCCCTGGGCGCTGGGCACCTCACACTTGCCGACTGACCTGACGCTTAATAAAACCGCTGTTGCCTGTTTGTACTGTGATTTGAATATTAAACCGTTTAACAGACTTGCCAGCAAGTACCTGATTTTTCTTGTCAGTTGAGCAGGCGGGCCAGGGAGTCGTGGGTATCGAACCCACGGGACGATGCGCCGCGGGCGTGACCCTCCACGCCCCGGAGCCCACACAGCGCAGGACGGCGTTGAGGGGAGCACGCTGTGAAAGCAGGCGGCTCGTGCTAGCCCCACACCCCGAATACGCAGCCTGTGACCTCCGACACGCCTCAGTCAGTTCTGGAATTTGTTAGTGGGGCGGATCATTGGCGTGATCCAACAGAGCAGAGGAAGCCGCAGCCTGAACCAAGTCAAACACACGTGAGACGTGAGTGGTGCCGAGCCTGACAAAGCGCCCAGACGGGGACCCTCGCTAAGGAATCCCCTGTGCTCAGGGTGCGCTCTGCAAGACCCACGGGTTCGCAATGCCACGTCGGCGGGCGGTGGGGCAAAGAGGAAAGGAGTCTCCGACAATAGTGACTTGGAGTCTGACATAAAGGGCCGTCGTGCTGGGGGCAGTCAGCGGCTGAGCCCAGGCCCCGCCGCGGGCTCATCTCTGGCTGGCGCCGCTGAGGTGGGACGGCGGGCAGTGACCCGGTGCCCTGGGGACGGGGCGGGCCAGCCAGCAACCCCAGCTCTACTGCAGCCAGAACCAAGGCGCTAGGGGCCCTGGGCGGCTACGGGCAGAGTGGACCGCGCGCGGCCGGCCCTGCGCCAGAGACGCCTCCCGCTGTCCAGCCAAAAGCCCCCCTCCAGGCCATGGAGGGTCTCACCAGCAGCGGGGCGTCTCCGGTAACAAAGTAACTGGACACACGAACCCATGTCTTTGTCCCCAATATGCTGCCTGTGTCTTATTAACAAAAATCACATCTCTCGTCACATAGTTCTTGAAGTCTTTATTCATACTCAGTAATTCACGTGGAAGGACACACCTGCCTACTTCCCCCATCGCTAAGAAATATGCCCCATTCACTGGTTTTGACCTGAACTTTCCAGGAAACCTCTCCTGTGCCCGTTTAGCTTTATAAGAATATCATCTTTACTATCATGTCAATAATCTATTTTGCTTCTACTACATTTTTCATAAACCAAGGAAAACAGGGTTTTCTTTAAAAAGTTATGTTTTCTCTTATTAATTTTGTATCGTATTTACAGCTGAGGAAAAACCGTTTTAACCAAAGTGTAAAATGATTAACATGGCAAACGACACAGTCCACTTAGAATTTACAAAAACATATACGGGATAGACACAGAATAAATAAAACAAGCACTTGGGGAAAGTCCTCTGAAAGCAGGCCTAGGGACGTCACCCGCAGCCTCTGCACAGATTTTGTTCAGAAAAGGCCACGTCTAAAAGTGTACTGTCGGGAAAGAAGCGAACCAAACGTGTGCGCAACGGGAGGCGCCTGCGGCGGCCGGTAACACTGACGCCCGCAGACGCCACTCACAGGAGCCTCAGTCCAAATCTCGTACTCGACGACAGATCTCCTCCGTGAAGTCGGAGCACTTTGCGTTGCCTCCTAGATCTTTCGTTAAGCTCTGGGAAAAGAGAAAAGCAAAGATAAACTGCACCCACATGCTAGAGCCAAGCCAGGCTGTTTTTACGGCGAGCCCCCGTGCACGTCTGGCCCCCACCCAGGATGACCGGGGTCCGGTTAGCACGCACCACACGCTGGAGAGGACAAGGCGCTCTCGGGACAAAAGCAAGGAGGGAGGCTTTCCAAAATTTTCCCTCTGTCCGTACAGTAGACCCTAATATTGATTATGGACATTTAAACGAACCATAAATCCCTTGGGGGAATTTTTGAAGTTGAAAAAACATCCTTTGACCTATTTTGGAAGCTGAGAAACAAATCTAAGGTAATATCTGAATCATGTGGGGCCTGACTCATGAGCTGGAGACCAGGAGGCCCACACTGCACTGAGGCGGCCGGCCAAGCACCCCTGAACCGCTAGCTCTCCAACTCTCCTCCTTAGAAGAGAAATTCCCCCACACGGCCCCCGGGTCCTCCGACAGCTTGTCCTCCCTTCACTCCCAAAGGGACCCCGAGACACTTGGTTCTCTCGTCCCACTGCGTCCCGACAATTCCAAGGGCCACTGAGGACTTGAGGCAGCGCTCTCTCCAAACAGATGCTATGCTTTTGAGGCCCGGCCTCGCTCTCCGCCCGTGCTCAGAACAACGAAGCTGGGTTCGAGCCAGACCGTGAGCCCCGGCCGCCCCAGAGGAGCTGTGGGACCTCAGTCAGTCTCTCTGTGCCCGGTTCCCTCACCTGGCAAAGGGGGTTAGTCGTAGCATCTACTTCACAGAGCAGTAGAGATTCACGGAGATGGTGTGCATGAAGAACATAGTCACCCAACATTCAGTTTATCAGCCACGATGACTCCTTTTGTGAACGTGTTTTACTTTCACAACACACGTGGAGCACGTCCCCGCACATCTGACCCGGACCTGCCGCTAGATTCCCAGCCCAGCGGCCTGGACCTTAGCTCCCCTTGCGTGTTAGACTCCGCAGACTTTATCACGCGCACCACACGGGTTTGCTGGGCGGGGGGGAGCAGGGACCTGGCCCCGGTTGTGCGCTGACAACAGGACAGCGAGGCCTCACTGGCTCTGGCCTCCGAACCGCGGCTCCTCCCGAAGCACATGGGGGTCTCTGGGTCAGCGCTTCCGAGCCCCCCGCGACGGAACGCACGGCTCCTCTCTCCAGATCGCACCCACGTGTGCTCGGGGAGCCGACGCCTGCGGCCTTCACCCGGACACGACGTGTGCCAGACGACCACCCATACCTTTCCATCCTTGATTGTGGCAAAGCACGCAGCCTCAACCCTCGCGGCGTGGTCGAAAAGCCCCATGTGGCGCAGCATCATCACGGCGCTGAGCAGGAGGGCTGTGGGGTTGGCCATGTCCTTGCCCGCAATGTCCGGGGCGGTGCCGTGAACCTACCGGAGGAACGCGAACACGGTCAGAGGGACCACAAACAGCCCTCTCCCGGGGACGCTGTGCCCCATCACGTCTCCTCATTCATCAGACACGGGGTCGGGAAGTAAAGCCTCAGAAAAACCAAGAGCCAAAACCATGGGGGAAAAGTGCAAAAACACGGACTAACAATCCTTTCCAGCTTCTGATAAGCTGTAACTGGGGAAGGACACATAATAATAAGGATACAAAATAAAAAAAGGGAAATGAATGAATAAACCAAGCTTATATTAAAAAAAAAAACCTAAAGAAAGGATCATTTTATTTCGACTCCCGAGAAAACTCAACAGTTGAACCATATCATATTCATGCAGATAACCCCATCCTGGGCCCTCAGGCCATTCCTACGTGAACGCCACTTCCCCCGTCACCCAGGTCCTTACCGACTCGAAGATCGCGACCCCATTGGCTCCAATGTTGCCACTTGGTGTCACACCAAGACCTCCAATCAATCCCGCACACAGGTCACTGGGGGCAGAAAAACATTTCCAAGGGAAAAATGAAACACCTCACCCAGACTTTGGAATTTATTATTTTTTAAAGATTTTATTTATTTGATAGAGTGAGCACAAGCAGGGGGAGCGGCAGACAGGGAGAAGCAGGCTCCCCACTGAGCAGGGAGCCCGATGTGGGGCTTGATCCTGGGACTCTGGGATCATGACCTGAGCTGGAGGCAGACGCTTAACTGAGCCACCCAGGAACCCCAGACTTTGGATTTTATTTTATTTTTTTAAAGATTTTATTTATTTATTTGACAGAGAGAGACAGCGAGAGAGGGAACACAAGCAGGGGGAGCGGGAGAGGGAGAAGCAGGCTTCCCGACAAGCAGGAGCCCGATGTGGGGCTCGATCCCAGGACCCTGGGATCATGACCTGAGCCGAAGGCAGACGCTTAACGACTGAGCCACCCAGGCACCCCCAGACTTTGGATTTTAAATGCCATTCTCTGCCAAAGGGAACCAGGGCTCCTTGGAGAAATGGCTGATCTGGGACCACAGTTAGGAAAACCCAGGATGGGCCGGAGGCAGCTTACTGTGCCAGAGAGCAGATGGTCAGCCGTGTCCAGAGGACACGACAGCTCAAACGGACGCGCACTGGCTAATATAAATGACGGCTGTGAAGGACAGAACTCACGGTTATACCCACGAGTCAAACTGACATAAGGACACAAATCGATGAGAGAAGGGAAGCTGATCCTCGCAGCAGAATGCCGACTAACAGACGTAGAAGGAATAATGGCCAATGTCATGTATGTGGTGGGGGGGACACCAGGAGGAGGTAGGCAGGGAGAGGGGAAGAGAGGGAGAAGTAACGTTAGCAGGGGAGGGCTGGGGGGGCCAGGGACACAGGAGTTCCTTGTACCATCTTGCAACTTTTCTGTAAGTATGAAATTATATCGGAAGTCGCAAAAATTTTGTAAAAATGACCACCCACTTGGGGGGCCTGGGTGGCTCAATGGGTTGGGCGTCTGCCTTCGGCTCCAGTCGTGATCCCAGAGTCCTGGGATCAAGTCCCACATCCAGCTCCCTGCTCAGCCAGGAGCCTGCTTCCCCTCTGCCTGCCACTCTCCCTGCTTGTACTTTCTCTGTCAAATAAAATAAATAAAATCTTAAAAAAACCAAAATGACCACCCATTAGTATACATAGTAACACACTGAAATCAACCAACCAATAAAACATCTCAGGATGGGAAGAGGGACGAATCATTAGAGAACAACAGCCCAGAGCCAATTTGGCAAATTAAACGAATCACCCATCCCACATGTGATCATGGACATCACCACCCAAATCACCAGGATCCAGCTCCTACCACACACGCTATACTTTCTAATATTCGAACGAAACTTCTTAAGCCACATTCATTTCAGGACATTTATAAATAAATCACAGACTACAGGGTATAGCTGGACTCACCTAAGGATGTCTCCATACAAATTTGGCATAACAAGAACATCAAACTGGGACGGATCCTGGACCATCTGCGAGGAATGCACGTTGTGTGTTTAGCCACCAGCCGCACCCACGACACACGACATAAGGCAGCAGGCAAGCAAGCATTTATACTTACGTTCAGACACACTGTATCAAGGTACATCTCATTAAATTTAATATCTTTACAGTTTTCAGCAACTTCCCTGCATTTTTGCAGAAAAAGCCCATCTGACATTCGCCTGTATTTAATCAAATAAAAATGGTTGAAAGAAAGACTTGCAGAAAGAAAAGGATCAGGTCAGAGAGTAAAGTTAAGTTCAAGAAATGTTAGTTCCAGAAGCCCAGACGTCTGATTTCAATCATGGTAAAATTATTTTTTAGGCAGTTAATTAAACGCAAACTGAAAATGTTTTGGGCTATCTCTGGAAGCACAAAAGGGCATAAAAATGTAAAACGGTCTGATCAAAATAGAGACTATTATTTTTAATGGTTTTGTCCAGCAAAAATGAAGAAATATCTATTAACAAGAAAATGTTAAAGTTCACTCATTTAAATGGTTGTACCACTGGACATGCTCAAGCCCTTTCGCTGCACATTCGGAGCAGCCTTCAGCGGACTGGGGCGAGCAGGAGGTGGACTGCCGAGCCCCCGGGCGGCCCCTGGCGCGTGGCCGAGTCAGACACACTCCCCTGGTCCACTCAGACAGCATAAGCGCGCCTGCCCTTCGACCTGCGTAGCCTCCTCGGCTAGGCGGCCACAGCATCTGGGGATCCGGTCTCCGTTGTCCTGCTCTGACGATGCCCAGTGCCTCCTGCCCCTCCAATCTGCTCACAGACGGGGGCGCCTGACCCACTGACTGGGGAAAAGAGAGGGACGCCGGGTCGCCGGGTCACTGCTCCCCCCGACAGCCAGCAGGGCTCCGGCCCGGCCAGGACTCACATGATGTTGGCTTTGTGCACGGCCGTGACATTGCTCCGGTGGTTGTTACGGGCGTACTCGAAGGCGAACTCTGCGATGCGCCTGCTTGCCTCCTCCGTGATGAGCTTGATGCTCTGCACGACCCCGTCCACGATCTGAGGGAGAACAGGCCCTGCCTCACTGGACTGGCCGGTGCTGGGCCGCGGGCGGTGAGGACACGCCGCCAAGTGGGGCGTCGCGGGGGTGAGTATCAGCAGCCCCAGCCCCAGGAGGCAGGTATCACAAGTCCCACTGCACGGATGAGGATAACTGAGGTGCAGAGGTGGCCACCTGCCCAAGAACACGCCTGTGAGATGGGAGATTCACCCACCCCAGGCCCGGTCACGGTGAGCTGTCTCTGCGAGGCATTCCCAACAACCGGGGATCGGAACGACTGTCCCAAGTGCACAGAGACGATCCAAGTTGAGAATCAAATGAACGTACCACGTGCTCAATGCCGCTGTATTCTCCTTCCGTGTTCTCCCGAATGGTGACGATGTTTACGTCAGTGTAAGGGGTTTTATAGCCCTCGATCGAGACACACGGCCGGACATTTGCATAAAGGTCAAATGTTTTACGCAGCAATAAATTCATAGATGGGTGACCAGCTGCTATTGGGGTCTTTAAAGGGCCTGTGGTAAAGAAGAGCACCCACATGACAATGGGATACGTTCTGGGTTTTCTTCTTCTTTATAAACGCAAGTACAGAATGTTTCCCTGAAATTCCAATTTTTCCTTGTTTCACTTTTCCACTGGAGCTTAGTTAGCATGAGAAGTAGCTGCGTGATACGTGTACCGTGCCTGCTTATGAACCGAGAGACGTCATTCAGCGTGTGCTCCCAGGTCACCCGCTAACCCACCGGGCCCACAGTGCAGAAGGGGTCTGTCTCTGACTTTACCTTCTCCCTGATTCAAACGAAGGAGGAAGAATTCCTGGAAGCTTCTGGAACATTACTGCACTCCTTAGTAACACCATACACCTCCTGGGGGAGGACCAGGCTCGGCAGTACCTGACCCTCACCACCACCCATGAGGTAACAACACTCTTGCTGTTATTTAAAAGAGAACGGAAGGGGTGCTGGGTGGCTCAGTCGGTGAAGCGTCTGCCTTCGGCTCAGGTCATGACCTTGGGGTCCTGGGGTCGAGTCCCGCGTCTGGCTCCTGCTTCTCCCTCTGCCTCTGACCCTCCTCCCCCGTTCATGCTCCCTCTCCCTTTCTTTCTAATACATAAATAAAATCTTTAAGAAAATAAACTAAAATAAAAGTGAAGGGGAAAAAACAAAAGCAAGAGCAAGAAACTGGCCCAAGCCTCCCAGTGGTACGTGGCAGAGATGAGATTCAAACTTGCATCTGTCTGCACTTACAGCCTGTGCTGAATGGGATCCGGGCACGTGCTCTTTTCGAATCATGACTTGAAGCATATATTAATTAAAATGAGAACAAAAACGTGAAAAGTGTGCAAAAGATAAATCTGGGTGAACATAAATATACACTTTCATTTGACACCGGCCAGTAATCCTTTAATGTTCTTACTGGGGAAAAATGCGTCCCAAGTGGAAAACCACCTCACCACGGGTAAGCTGCTTCATGTGGGGTACACAACGTAAGGGCAGAGAAGGCGAACCTCTGTGTTGTGCACCTGAAACTATCGTAACAGTGTGTGTCAGCTACACTCCAATAAAAACATTCTGAAAAAAGAAAGACGTTCCCTCATAAAGGATGGTTTTACTTTAACATGGTCAGGCCTTATTTTGGCTCAAATGTATCCTAACCTTTCAAAAATTAACACCTGTAGCAGAAATCCACCATAGCCACCATATCCACTACCTTTCAAGCCCATCTTGTTCTTATCCATGGACTCTTTGGCTTCGGGAGGGATCATCCACTTTCCTCCGGGCCCTTGAATGGCGGTGACATTCCGCTCCTCCCACTGAATGGGCGCCTAGATGCCGCAACACAGAGCACAGTGAGCTGCAGAGACGCTGGTGTGACCTGCACGCACACTCCAAGGACTAGCGTCTTCAACTCTGGGTGAACTGGTGAAAACATACAATAAAGGTCCAGAAAGTTCCTGGCACTGGAGATGAGATGTCATTCCCTGGTGCGCCCAGAGGGCCTCTCTGCCGCTACCCTGTCCAGTCCGCACCGAGTTGCCACCTGCCCACTTATTTTTCTCACAACTCTTACCGTGGGTAAAATAAGAATAGCACGAGGGGAGGAGAAATATAGTGGGCGGAAACACTGCAGAGTAGAGACACGGGCGTGAGCCTAGAAATCATATGCTAAGTGAAGGAAGCCGATCATAAAAGACCACACAGTAGAAGACTCTCTTCATACAAGTGTCCAGAAGAGGCCAATGTGTGGACACAAAGTAGACGAGTGGTGACCTAGGGCCGGTGGAGGGAGGGGAGGGCTGAGGGGGCTGGGGGTTGGGCAGCGAGTGCTAACGAGGGTAAGGTTTCTGTTTGGGGGGTGAGAATGGTCTAAAATTAGATCACGGCGCCGGCCGCACAACTCTGAGCATGCACTGAAGACCATGGACTTGGACCGCACACGGCAAACCAGCAAACCGTGCAGTGTATCAGTTGTATTTCAGTAAAGCTGTTTAAAAACCCCAGATACAGTCCATAAGCCATGCAGGCATACGCCAGAGTCCCCTCCTGCCCTCTGTGCGCCCCGACAGCCGGCACGGTGGCCGCCGACTAGGCGGAGGTAGGTGTCCCTCCGCGGGGCGCTTACAGCAGGTGACTGGTCATGCTGGCTCTCTGCACAGTCTGCCACTGGGGAGGCATCAGCCCCTCCACAGGACCTGTGCTTACGAAAGCTGTATGTGCAGTTCAAACGCACCCCAGGCCTCATCCTACAGGAGAGCATGGGACTTCGCCTAGCAGCTCACGGGCGATCAGACAAAGCCCAACTTTCCCGTATTCCCCAGACAAAAGCGTTTTAAAGTAGCTACTGCATGGAAGCCTGGGCCATTAGAATAACCGTCCCTCACGCTTGATGGTAACTTTTTTTGATCTTTCAAAACCTCCTAGACGGTTTTGTGAATTATCAGTTCTAGTCTTGCTGGCAGGAGAGACAGGACTGAGGCAGGCAGGGGACCGGCAGGGCTAAGCCCGCGCGGCGTTAGCACGACTCGGATGACGTGACGAAGCCAGCGCGCCCACGGCTGTCCCCGCGGCACTGAAGTCAGGGCTGTGGAGACGGGCGACACCTTCCGCCTCACACAAGTCGTCCTAAGAGCACACCAACTCCAACTACCCGAGAAGAGTTCTCTACAAATTATTACGAAAGGTGTTTTTTAAACACACTTACTTTGGCAGCATCAAAAATCTTCATAACCGCGGCTGAGATCTCGGGGCCAATACCATCTCCTGGAATTAAAGTGACTGTCTGAACCTGAGTGAAAGAAGTCACCAAAGAGGACAGTAAGGATTAATTTTTGAAGGTTTGGAGAGAATATCACTGACAGAGAAATCCAGCTCATGGGGGGGTGCTCAAGAAGACCTGAAGGCCGGGGCACCTGGGGGGCTCAGTCGTTAAGCGTCTGCCTTCGGCTCAGGTCATGATCCCGGGGTCCTGGGATCGAGCCCCACATCGGGCTCCCGGCTCCGCGGGAAGCCTGCTTCTCCCTCTCCCACTCCCCCTGCTTGTGTTCCCTCTCTCGCTATCTCTCTCTGTGTCGAATAAATAAATAAAATCTTTAAAAAAAGAAGACCCGAAGGCCTTCAGGAAAAGAGACGTCCCTCCAAGAGCTCACCAAAACGGAGGCAAGACTCAAGAGACTCTACTCTTCACCTGAGTTCAGAGACTCTAATAAATGATGCTCTTTAGATAAAACAAAAATAAACTACAATTGATATTTTTTTTGACAAGCTACAAAGAGACCAATTAATTCAAGTCTATGCAACCAAAGAGAACAAATTTCCACAAGGTTCTCTCACTGGAATTCAGAGGGTTTCCCATGAAGGCAACTGCTCTCCTCTCCACTGGGATCCTGGAAAGTTAGGTCCTCACCCAACTGCTCAGGCTTAAAAAACACTTTCAGACACGTTCCCAGAAGACTGCTGCGGTCTGTTCTAGAACCAGAGAAAATCAGACTTCCAATCACAAGGCGGTCCCCGCTTTTCTGAGCCCCTCTGTGACATCCGCTCCTCAATGACAAGTATCATCGAGCGGAGCCCCGCAGAGTTTCTGTGTGGCCTATAAGAACAGCAAGTGTGGTCACGCCTGCAGAGTCTGAGTTAGACGTAGAAGGATAAGGGTGTTTCTAATATAAGGCCAGTGCTTTACTGCAAAGACTTCAAACAATCAAGCCAGCATTTCAAGCGTAGAAATAAAAATGTGTAAAGGCAAGTGATGACGGGATTTTCAGGAGTTAATTCAGAACCCCTCTCCCCACTTGGAGACCATAAGTGTCATTACCTGGGGACCTTCTCTCACCAGGAAGTCTGGCCCAGACAACGGTCCCTGGTCTTTTGCCTTCCACTGATACTCACTGAGCAGGTAGACTATTTCTGAATTTCTCTGTATTACTGAAGAAATCTTTTTAAAAACTTAGTTCCTCTTCTTATTTCCTTCAAATATAACCCCCTTCCTACCAGGCAAATATCTTTACCAAATGGACAGCTTAAATCACAGCAGAGAGCAATGATCATCCCCTCAGCTCTCAGAGCGCGTTTGAAATGCTAGCGTGGCCAGCCTGGCGCTTGAAGTGCAAGCCTCGTTCTGCGTCTTTTGCACAAGCAGAGCCAAAAGAACCCTTTGGCTTCTTCTTCCTGTTCTCCCAACATGTAATACTAAATGTCATCAGGCCACCAGAAGAATCTACTTTTCTTCCACAGTATAGAAAGTCAGTGGGAAAAAAAGAGGTACAATGGTCTTATAAATCCCTCCTAGAGTAAGACGTTATATGGGAGTAGAGGAATTATGAAATCCAAATCAGATTCTGTAAGAAGGGGGTAAAATAAAAACAAATAGGAAGTCACTGACCCACAGTCTTAGAATGCTCTAAAAATGTGGTATCAGCTTTTAAAGCACAGAATTCTAATGCTGGGAATTCTAAAAGCAGCAGATTTAGTAAGAAATAGGAGATCCACTAACATGTCTACAAAGACTGCATAAGGACGTATGAGCCCACAGGGCTCAGACAAGTTTGAGGCATTCCTAATAGCGGTCAATCTACTGTTTTTAGGGAAGCTCACAAAATAAAAATGCAAAGCAGGCTTTGAAGCTTCTCAACAATTTTCTCTGAACTTGTATAAGTTTTGAAAAAAACTGTCTTACCAAAATGAGATTTCGAAATGAAGTAACAGGCTCAAGGGTGATTTCTATTTTTAACCAGGCTCCTTTAAGACATTAATGTGACAGGCTTACAGAGCCAGCTGTAACAGAATTCTTAAATGGGCAAGTGATCCGATGGATTTATGCGTGTTAGCCAAGAATTTAAATACCCAGCGTAAGTATGACAAGTTTTCCCTAATTTTAAATAAATGGCGACAAAAAACTATATAGTAAACGTGTTAGAGCATCTTTCTTGAGAAACTTCTAAAAGGAAAATAAAAGATGTAATTATACTCACACCACCAGCAAAACCTCTGGTCACCTGTTTTTGGTTGTGGAATGCCCCCAGCAGCCGAGAGACCTACATCAATATCAACAAAGAAATGTCATGCACAGAATTAAACCACATATAGTGAGGCGTAGGGATGAGGCCATTTCTGAAGGCTGATGATGCTGCAAGTTTGCACACATATATCCAGGAACTTCTACGAATATCTGTCTCATGTATTAGCTCAATGTGACAAGCTATCTCAGATTTGAAAACCTAAATATCTGGTTTATCTTTGCTTTGAAATTTAAGTACTACATATTTTTAAATTTAATTTGATGAATATGTTGTCAAAAAATGTTGAAGGTGGAATGAAACTATCCCTTTTTAGTTCAAACACTGGACTTTTCTCAGATGCTCTGGAAGGTTTTATATCAACATTCTTGACTACTGGGTCAATTTGGGGAGAACACATACTCTAAGAAAACTATCACTAATTTTAGAGCTGGAAGGGTCCTTAAAAATTCCAGAGCCCAACTCACTCATTATACAGGCGGAGACATTGGTGTTTCATGGGTCAGGATTTGCCTACAGCCACAGGGTGACCAGAGACCAGAATTCAGGTCTCCTGACTCCTAGTCCAGTGTTCCTTCAGTTACACACTGTGCCTACTCTTCTCCCATGAATATTTAGTAATTACACTTTATAATAACAAAAATCTAACGAAGTTTATTTAATACCATTTGACACCTGTCATACAGAATGAAGATTTTACTTATTTTTTCTGGTAAGTAATGACACGGTCGTTAATAATAACGTGGTCATTATATAATTGTTAATTGCCAGGAAAGGGGATACAGAAAAAAGTGACCCCCTAACTCCACTAGCCCAAGACGTTACCACTGGTATAATGGTTTCCACTCAACACTATCAGACACTAGAAACAGAAATTTTAAAAGGTTACTTTGAACTTTAATAACTGAGTCGTTGAAAACTGGTATAAAGTCCTATTAAGAAAGTGGATACATACACCAAAGGTACTAAAATTCATTACAAGTTATAAACGTAACTTCTTTTCATGCCAGATACATAAGCAAAGATACATTGTTATATGCCGCCTTAGTCTTCCTTTCCCGGGACTGTCCTCATAAGGCCCGGCCCTTTGCTGTCACACTGGAATCTACTAACGAGACACCAACGAACAGCCAAGCAGGTATGAATGAACTGTATACTCTAACCTGGCAACTACAGTAATCTCTCTGGACTGAAAATAAAAAACAGGGCCAGACCCAAAGGACACTCTATGCCAAAACCACGGGCAAAAATCTTAATCCTAGACCATGATTCATCCGTGGACAGATGGGCTGCTGGAAGAGAGGCCATGTAAAAGCTACTCGGTGACAGGAACATTATAAAATTTGCAAGAGTGCTTCTGCCCACCCCAGCCCAGAGAGAGGGGGAAGACATTCATACAAAACAGGACCATGTCTTTGTGACAAAAGACCCAACCAACAAGTGATTTAAAATGTCAATCCACAAGCACAAACATTTCTGTTTTATTCACTGTTGGATCTCCAGTGCCTACCAGAGCACGGGGCTCTCAGGAAGGGCTCACAGGAGGGGCTCAATGAGTATTTTTTGGAGAAACACAAGCCAGCCTCAATCATCTCCTTTATCTGACGAATCCCCATCCCAGTAAACATCTTTAATACTTGCGACGATTTTCTCTAACAATCAGTCTGGTCCATGTTTGTCATCTCTCCTATGTGATCTTACAATAAGGCAGTATACATCTAAGTCATTAAAATGACCCAGAACTGTACGTAAAATGAGATTTTTTAAGGCAGAGACTGTCTTGTACTTTATAACCTACCTGTACGTACATTACATTATGTTATCTCTATAAAACCTGGAGAGGTAGGTATTAGTGACCCTTTTCAGATAAGGAGACTAAGGCCAGGCTCATAGAGCATGAACTGAACTTCTGACTTCAGGTCCTGGGCCAACGGAATCCACGGTTCCTCATTTCCTTTATTACCTTCATAATCTAACTTAACATACAAATAAAATGTTGGATGTACGGCAGGTACTCACTCAATAAGTATTTGCTGCTGGGGAGCTGGCTCATAATTACAGCATTTTATAACCAGAAAGGTCTTTAGAAACCTAGTATTTTCTCTAAATAATGCTTTTTTAGAAAAAAAAATTTAAGCTGCAGACCACTTTTTCCAAATTAAACCCTACATGGAACCCCAGTAGAGGAACTGCTCTGACTGAAACATCAGCCCAGCATCCCCAGCATCCTTCTGCTCCAACCCCTAAAGGGAGCAACGGGCCCCACAGAGGGGCAGTGATGGGCAAGGGCCACACGGGAGTCTGTGACGGGGGAAACCTCATCTGATTCCACAGCCCAACACTTTCTGAACACCCACTATGTGATTTTTTCTTGCAGTCCACACTACAGGCAAAGCAAATCGACCGCACATCCATTATCAATAGTGCTGCTTTAGCCCACCTCTCTGGAGGCTCAACGGACCTACTAAAGATGAGTCAGGTATGAAGTGGGGTGAACTCCGCGATGAAAGGTTTGATTTCTGCTGAGACACAGAAACCACTTTACCTCCAGGAGCAAATGTGGCAGGACAGTGACTGTCACACTAAGCCAGGTCTGGAGGGGGTGACGAGGCAGAACCCATTTACTGAGGCCCAGGAACCCCTGTCCGCTGGTGACTGCAGATGAATGTACTGAATGCTGGGAAAGCCGGACTCGTGTGCTCCCTCTGCATGTACTAATCCTGAGACAACTCTGTGAGGCAAACACAGATATTCTACAGACGGGCAGACAAAGCTCAGAGATGTCAAGTAATGTGCTCAAGGTCACACAGCCCGTCAGTAGCATTGCCCCCGATTCGAACCTAGATCTCCGGGGGTAGACTTCCAGCGTAGAGCTCTTTTCACTAAATCACAGTGATCTGGGACGCTCTTTAAGCTCAAAGCAAAGGAGAGACATAGCACCAAATTTTACTAAAAAAAATAAAATAAATGGAATTGCTTGTGGTAGACTTCTAGGGGGCCATTCGGGAAGCTCAACAGCAGACCCGAGGGCCTACTCTTCCGCGGGCCTGTTATCTGTGTGTGGCCTTGGCCACGAGTAGGGAGAATGGGACTGGGAACCAGGGAGCCCCCAGTTCCGACCCCGACTTCCCGCGTGACCTTGAGCGGCGGCGTCTGCAGACGCGAACCCAGGAACTGCAGGGGAGCCCTGACGCCCCTTCCGGCCCCGGCCACGGCCCCGGCCCCCGCCCTAGCTGCCAAGGGCAGCGACAGCTCTCCTCGAGGTCGGGGGGTTCTCCCCAGCGACAGGGCGGGGGGCTGGGCGGGATGTCCCGGGGGCCGGGGGGCCCGCGCCGTCCGATGGCGGGCCCGGGTGTCCCCGCCGGCCGCGCTCGGGCCACCCCCCACGCCCGCCCCGGCTCCAGGCGCAGGCCGGCCCCCGCGCGGCGCTCGCGGGGAACGCCCGGGCCCGACCGTGACCTTGGCCCCGCCTCAGGCGCCGCCGTCCGGGCGCAGGGCCGCCCGCACCGTCCGCTTCCGCCGAGGCCCGCGCGCCCGCACTGCCGCCGCCCGGCCCGCGCGGCCCGCCCGCAGCACATCCGCCGGCCCGGCTCTCACCTTGGAGATCCACGCGGGCCCCGCCATCGCGTCCCTCCTGGCGCCGCGACGACAGCAGCGGCAGCAGTGCGCAGTCGCGCAGTCCGGGCTGGAGCCCCGCCCACCGCGGGACCGCGCCCGCACCTAGGCCCCGCCCCGGAGCCCCGGCCCCGCCTCTGCCTGGTCCAGGCCTGGACGGCCGCCGCCTGCGCTGACCAATCGCCTGGCTCCCGCTCAGTGACGTCAGAGGCGCGACCCGGAAGCCTCCGGGAAGGCCCTGCCCCCTCCTCCCGGCTGCGGCGGTGCCGGGGCTGGCGGGCAACCTCGTGCGGGTACGGGGACGGCTCGCTTACTTCACAGATGCTTGTTGTGGTGTGACAGCGCCACCGACGTGTGGCCCCGGAAGTCCGGCGGTCTGTAGTGAGCGCTGGGTCCGGTCCGGCGCGGCCCCGCGGCCCCGGGCGTCGGGCGTCACGGCCCGCGCGGGCGAGGCTGCAGGCGGTGCGGGACGCGCGGGTCCGGGGAGGCGCTGGGGGGCCTCGTCCCGGGAGAATGGCCGGGGGGGGTCTTAGTCCCGGGGGGCCTCGTCCGGAGGGGGGTGGCCGGGGGAGCCTCGTCCTGGGGGGCAGGTGGCCGGGGGGGACCTCGTCCCGGGGGAGCCTTGTCTCCGGGAGGGGGTGGCCGGGAGGGGGTTCCTCGTCCGGGGAAGCCTCGTCCCAGGGGACCCCCGGGCCGCGGCGACTTACAGTAGGCCTCCCCTGCCCGCCGCGCAAGGTGATGGTTAGGTGAGAAATGACGCCCAAGGCCTCCGTGAGATAAAACAACCAACCGCAGCTACGCCTGGCCGTCGGCCCTTGAAGGGTCCACAGACCCTCTCCCTCCGTCCCCACCAGCCCTCCTCCCCTCTGACAGGACCACCCTGGCTCCCGACCTCCCGGCTCTCTCTCGCGGTCACCTCTCACCAAGGTATATTTTCAGCCATATTCCTGCCCCTCCTTCCAGCCCCACAGCCCTGGAGCGCCAGCCAAGTAGGACTGCTGGCCAGCCCCCAAATGCTTCCCATGTTTGACTCGCGCCAAGTCGTGCCATTCCCTCTGCCTGACTGCCCTTTCATCCCCTTCCCACCTGCTGAAATTCCAGCCACCTGTTAAGACAGCTGGGGTGTTGGCTCCTTCGGGGAAACCCCCAAGACCTGCCCACCTCTCCCCACTCCCTACTCAGAGCTCCCCAGCACTTGATTCCCACCTCCCCTGGGGAACCTGACGTTCTTTCCTGCTGTGTACCTTTGAGATCTTCCTCCAGCTGTCTTTGCTTCTGGAACAGAAACCAGCATGTTTTCTGCTCAGTGACTATAAAACGAAGACTGAGTGACTTTCTCCAATCTCTGTTGAATCTCCACAGTAACCCCATGAGGAAACTGAGGTACAGCGGGATGCAGTGGTGCTGCATTATACTGGGAAACATAATTACTGAGAGGTCATTGGTTCAACAAGGCCTCCCAAGAGGAGGAGTCCTATCAGGTGCACTGTGAGGAGAAGAAACGAGTAAGCCCCAGCCCTACCATCCAGGTCCACTGAGGGAGAAACCCAGACACTGAGACAGTGATGGGTGTTTGAAGGGTTGTGAACAGAGTGGGGTTGGTTGGGGAAGATTCCACTGTGAATATGGAGTTTAAAGCAGTCCTTGGAGAGCTAAGAAGTCAGCAGCCTGAGATGGAGTCAGGAGAAGGGACCAGTGCCAGCAAAGACTTGGAGGCAAGAAAGCGTCAAATTTTCAGAAGCCCTTTCAGAGCTGAGGACTGAAACAGACCTCGGAGGTTTCCCAGTCCAACTCCCACAGCAAGGTGCTCCGTGCCTCCTGAGCATCTGCAAGGACATCGGGGAGACAAAAAGCTGCCTCAGCCCCAGCTGGGACCTGTTCCCTGGACCAGGCCACAGGCTCCAGAACCCCTCAGACATTCTTGAGCTCCTCCAACATGCAGGTCACTCCCCTCTGGACACGCCCCTGTGTCCTGTCCTTGCACTTTGTAGCATCCAGAGATGCCATTAACAGTGTTTGCCACTCAGAAGGATCTAGAAGGTGTGCCCTTGTTTAGGACTACAGCACTACCCAATCCAAGTGTGTTTTATTCTAGACAATGTTTTTAATTGAGACAGCATTCTTAATAAATCAGCAAAATACACATACCAAATGCTTTTTACTTTTTATAAAAAGAGCACAAATTTATTTCAATAGGGTTTCCCTAATTTGTTTTCCTAAATATTAGAACTTTAGTAAGTAAATGGGCAAGGGACCTGAACAATCAGTTCACAGCCAAAGAAACACAAACTTTTAAAAGGTCCAACGTAGGGGCCCCTGGGAGGCTCAGTCGGTTAAGCATCCAACTCTTGATTTCAGCTCAGGTCTTGATCTCAGCGTCATGAGCTCAGGCCTGCACTGGAATTTAACATACCTGAAGTAGGAAACATGACATCAGGGTTCCAAGCCGACAGCCAAGAAAGAATTCTTAAGACATCTTTGGTGCAAAATGGTGGTTTTATTAAAGCACAGGGACAGGACCCGTGAGCAGAAAGAGCTGCTGCCCCTGGATTGTGAGGGGTGACCGATAATATACTATGGGGTTGGGGGACGTAAGGAAAAGGGAGATTTCAAAAGAACTTTGATATGCTAAAGAGGACCTACGGGATACTGGAGGCCTTGCATTGTCAAGTTTAGGTTGTTTTTCTCCTCTAGCAAGGTATTAACATTACCATAGTTGGGAGATTCCTGGAAGAAAATCACACAGGTCCCACCCAGGGGTGGGGGGAGGTTGCAGGGGGTCAGCTTGTGCTTTGTCTTCAGTCAGCCTTCTGCTCCCTCATCAGTATCTTCTGTGCTCTACTATGACTTCTTTCTATATGTGAGCAAAAACTAGCAGGGAACCTGCTCCCGGACTCAGTCTCCCGCTCAGTGAAATCCAACTCCAGTCTCCCTGTTGCTCAAGTCAGAAGACTTGAGGGTCAGCTCTATTTTTACAAGTGATCTAGAATTAGATACTTCCCACCTGCACTGCTCCCTCCCTGGTCTAAAGTCCTCTCTGGGCAGAAAATGCCAAACTTCTGATCATGGCTGCTGGCCTTCTCATGACCAGATCCCCTCCAGGAGCCCACCTGGGGGTCACCTCATTAGAATAAAGGACACTCCTGTCAGGAGGATACAAAGGGTTCAGGGGCCCTGTGTCAGAACCAGGGACAAAGCTGTTATATTGTCTTTAAACATTTCAGTTGAAATAATGTGATGTGTTAAGAGTTTGAACCCATCACTACAGAAACCCATAACTACAGAAAACTACAGCCCGTGGACAAGCTTTGGCCCAATGCCTCCTTTTGGACAGCTAAGAATTGTTTTCACACTTACACTTTTAAATGGCTCATAAAAATCAAAAGATAATGCTTTGAGGGGCGTCAATTATATAAAATTCAGGTTGCAGTGCTGATACGTAACGTCTAGCTGGAACACAGCCAATCCCACGTGCCTGGTATGGCAGCTTTCAGAGCAGAGGCTGGTGGAGCACAGACCGCGATGGGGTGTCCTGCAGAGCTGAAACTCTCCCATCTGGCCCAAACAGAGAAAGCTTGCTGAACCACAGAGTGATGGTGTTCAGACATTTTAGTCTCAAGACTATTTCTCACTCTTAAAATTTGAGGCCCCGAACTTTGTTAATACAGATTATTCATGTTTATCCTAAGTTAAAATTGCAAATGACCCCTATGGCTGTGTTAAAATGTGTTTTAAATAACTATAATACCACCACTGTATGTTAGCTGAGTTCAAGTATATTTTCAAAGACAATAAACATTTAGTGAGAAGAGTGTCAGTCCTGGAGACTCCACTCTGCACTCGTGAGAATTATATTTTCTATTATGGAGATAATACTGTGGACCTCACAGACCCTCTGAAAGGGTCCCAGGGACCGTGCTTGGAGAAGGGCTGCCTGAGGCAGTGAGGACTTTCCGCAGAAGCCCACACTCCAGGGGCTCTTCCTCCAATGCCTCCATGGCGGGAGAGCATCTGGGCAGCAGGGGATCTGCTCGTGAGCACACAGATGCTCCAGTGGCGGAGTTCCCGCACGTGAGGTGCCGCCCAAGGGCCTCTGCTCTCGCACGGACAGCGCACGAGGCTCGGTGGGCCCTGGGTCTTAGATGTCCGTCTGGCCTCAGGTTCAAGCTGCTGAGGACGCCATCATCTGATCCCGAATTGCAGGCTGGCTGGATCTCGTTCCTCAAATATTGTTGCTTCTGCTTTGGACTAAATCTTTGAACAAGGAAGCTTGTGACAACACCTAAAAGGACAGGTCTTCAGCCCTCCGTGTGCTCACAGAGCAGGTTCTGTGACTGCAGAGGGCCTCCTTGCTAGTAAGTGATGGTCCATGGCCCACAGTCCAGTCTGTTTGCAATGACCCCCCCAATAGCAAGATTTGTGCATGTACCACTCATCACTGGAGATAACTCAGATCTACAGCAAAATTGAACCCAGTGGTAAATGACCTGCCTTGGTCATTTCCTGACAGACATCCCCCAGTGATCCAGGGGAGGTGAGGGGCTTGGGCCAAAGTGATGGGGGTACAATGCTAGAGGCCGGGGCACTCTGGCTAGAGCAGCCTACGCTGATGGGTGAGTATGGGGTGAGGGAAGGAGGGGGTTACACCTCCGAGGATTTTAAAGGCACCTGGAAGGGTGGATGGGATGGTTTGCAGGGGAGGCTGACCCTCCTCCCTCAACAACAGGACCGTCCCCATTGGCTTAGTCCCATTCTAGGCCACTGGGAACTTGGCACATCCAGAATGGCTTTTGGGGGAGGGCCCAGAACAGGCCCACGGGGCCACTCAGGGAGAAGGTGGGTTCACCTTTTTTGCTTTGTACTAAAGGGCTTGGTCACTTGACCCTCCAGGAGCAGTGACTTGATTCAACGTGTGAACAAGTCCAGAAAATGTATTCTTTTAAGAAATGTTGATTCAGTGTTTACCAAGACCTTGTCTTAGACCCTGGGGATAGAGCCCAATAGGATGTGGTGCACCCTCCTGAGCCCTAGTGTTTAGAGGACATAACACCTGCCCCCTTCAAAAGAGATAGCCCCAGACGGTATGTTCACTCATCCACAAATATGAAGATCTGTGTGTAAAATGCTGGAGATTACAGGAAAATGAGCAGACAGACTGTCCAATGCTAGGGATGGAGATTTAGTGGGCGGTTGCAGGGGACCCAGGAACTGCTCACAGATTATTCCAGCAGCTCTTGGAGAGAGGCCAAGATGACCAGTGCGCTGGGAACAGAGATGAGACTTCAGGGAGGAATGAGGTTTGGATTGCCCCTAAGATCGAGAAGAGTCAGATAAGGTAGGACATTCCAGGAGGGACCCTGACGCTGGTAAAAGTCATGGTAAAAGTCATGGTAAAAGTCACGAGAGATAGGGCAGTGAAGGACAAAGGACAGGTCTGCAGGGAGCATCTTTACTTCAGATGATGTCCCGCCTTGGCCTCGGGCCCAGGACACTCCATCTCCACCATAAAGATCCCCTCAGACTCTAAGTCTTAGAAGAACTTCTTGCAGATCAAGGACATTTCATCACAAAGAATAACAGCTAGTCAAGGAGGAAGGACAGAGAAAAGGAAAGAGGTTAACGTTTTATTGTATTCACTCAGACCCTTTACCTCCTATCAAGTTCACTCCTTGGGTTTTCCGTAGCATTGATCCCTTCTGTTTTCCTTCCAAATTTTAAAATAAACTTTATGGACTGAGTCAGAAATGAAAAAGCTAACGTTTAATGAGTGCTCACAAGTGTCAGGCACCACTGTGGGATCCTCAGCTCGAACACCAGAGAGAATCTCACACACGCTCTGGGCTCTAAAATGTCACCTTCTCTGAATTTCTGCTCACATACCCTGCAACCTTTCCACCGTGGAGGCCATCACACGTGTCCAATACACGTGAAGGCTGCTCAGCAATCCCCTGGCTTCTGAATTGCTTCCTGCCCTTCTCGCAGCAACAGATGATGCCTCATGACTCTTGGGATTTGAACAGGGCAGCTTGTCTGCTTAGCCCATGGTTGCTGTTCTCCCCTGAAGGTGGCAAGATGTTGAGAAACCTCAAACAGGAACCTCAGGTATAAAAGGAAAATGTAAAAACACCAGGGATTCTGTCAAAGAGGGAGGGACCCGGGCTCCCATCGGAACCCCTAACCTCCAGCAGTGATTCTCAAAGTGGCGTCCAGGGCCAGCAGCACCTGGGACCTTGTTAGCCCCCCACATTCTGGGCCACCCCAGACCTACTAAATCAGAAACCCTGGGAGTGGAGCCTCCCAAGTGGTTAAAGAAACAAACCACCTATTTTAAAGCGTAACGTCCTGAGCTCATGGAAGTCCAGGTGCGGCACAGCCCAGGTCCTGCCACTTCCCCGCGGTGGGACCCGGGGCGAATTACCGAACGACTCAGCCTGTTTGCTCACCTGTACAATGCGGAGAATACCAGTAGAATCAGCTGTGCGGGTTAGCAATAACACATGTTTGGGCTGGACCCCTGAAAGGACTCAGCGGTGACTTTATTTGCTGCGGCCTCTGGCATTTGCTTCAAAGTCCAAGAAAACTTCCTGGCCTTTGTCCCACTTCTCTGGACACCGTAAGTCCTGTAAATCCTCCCCAGCCGCACGTGTGTACCCAGGGACGCAAAGAAAGGCCAGCCAATCCTGCCGCCTCCCTAAGAGACCCGGAGGGCCCGAGATGCCCTGCCCAGGCAGTGGCCAGAGGCCGGATGGGTCTCCAGCTCACTGACCCCTCCTGTGCCCCGGAGGGCCGGCCCTGGGTCGCGCCGCGAGACCTGGATGCCGGTACCCAGTCCAGGGCTCGCCTTCCGGACGCCCCCCGCCCGGGTGAAGGGGCGCCAGGCCTACTGCCCCCTCCCTACCCCTGCGCCACGGAGTCTTCCGGACCACGCGGCCGGAAGTCTTGGCCCCTCCCGGCCTGAGGTCCTGGCCCCGCCCCGCTGGTGGTCCAGGCCCCGCCCCGCTGGTGGTCCAGGCCCCGCCCGGCCGGAAGTCTTGGCCCCTCCCGGCCTGAGGTCCTGGCCCCGCCCCGCTGGTGGTCCAGGCCCCGCCCCGCTGGTGGTCCAGGCCCCGCCCGGCCGGAAGTCTTGGCCCCTCCCGGCCTGAGGTCCTGGCCCCGCCCCGCTGGTGGTCCAGGCCCCGCCCATCTGGTGGTCCAGGCCCCGCCCGGCCGGAAGTCTTGGCCCCTCCCGGCCTGAGGTCCTGGCCCCGCCCCGCTGGTGGTCCAGGCCCCGCCCATCTGGTCGTCCAGGCCCCGCCCGGCCGGAAGTCTTGGCTCCTCCCGGCCTGAGGTCCTGGCCCCGCCCCGCTGGTGGTCCAGGCCCCGCCCATCTGGCCGGAAGTCTTGGCCCCTCCCGGCCTGAGGTCCTGGCCCCGCCCCGCTGGTGGTCCAGGCCCCGCTCCGCAGGTGGTCTAGGCCGCCCGGCCGGAAGTCTTGGCCCCTCCCGGCCTGAGGTCCTGGCCCCGCCCCGCTGGTGGTCCAGGCCCCGCCCATCTGGTGGTCCAGGCCGCCCGGCCGGAAGTCTTGGCCCCTCCCGGCCTGAGGTCCTGGCCCCGCCCCGCTGGTGGTCCTGGCCCCTCCCGGCCTGCGGTCCTGGCACCGCCCCGCTGGTGGTCCAGGCCCCGCCCATCTGGTGGTCCAGGCCCCGCCCGGCCGGAAGTCTTGGCTCCTCCCGGCCTGAGGTCCTGGCCCCGCCTCGCTGGTGGTCCAGGCCCCGCCCATCTGGTGGTCCAGGCCCCGCCCGGCCGGAAGTCTTGGCTCCTCCCGGCCTGAGGTCCTGGCCCCGCCCCGCTGGTGGTCCTGGCACCATCGGGCCGGAAGTCCCGCTCGCGCCCGGCCGGAGGAGGGGAGAGGCGGGCGGCACCTCCCGCGGCGGGAAGGGGCTGCCCCTGACGGGGTGGGTGCGCCGCACCTCGGGGCGGGGTCGCGCGGCCTCCCCCCGCCCGGCTCCCGGTCGCGCTCCCGCCTCCGGGGGGCCGCGGGGCTGCGGGGCGGGTCCGGGTGCCGCGAGCTCGGGCCCGGGCGACGGCGCAGCAGCCGCTATGGGCAACAAGCAGACCATCTTCACGGAGGAGCAGCTGGACAACTACCAGGTGAGCCGGCGCCCGCCCTCCCCTGCTTTCCGCGCCGCGTGCCGGCTGCAGAGCCTGCCCCTGCCTTCAGCTCGAAGCGTGACCTTGGGCCTCAGTTTCCCCACCCTTGCGTTGAGAGCGCTTTCCAGTGGGGAGATACTCGCCGGCGCGCCTCACCCGCCTTCAGGCTCCTTGCTCTCGGCCCCAGGCTGGACGCGACCCCCTCCCCAGCCACCTGCCCCAGCGCCCACCTTGGCACGGAGTTGGCGGGTCATTAAACGCCGGCTGGAGGGAGGGTCCCCTATCCCAGAAAGCAGCCCAGGAGAGTGGGGTCCTGTCTGGGTCGGGAGTGAGGTGCATCCCCCCAAATGCAGTTCTAAGTTGGGAGTGTCTTGTTTAACTGTAGGGGTCTCTCCCTCTGGCCCCAGCATGGAAATACTTGGAGCAAGGAGGAGGCCAGAGACCAGTCCCCATCTCCTGGTCCCCGAGTCCCCCAGCAGCCACCCCCTAAGACCCTTCTAGGACCTCCTGCCTCCAGAGCCACGAAACTGTCCAGACCAGAGGTCCAAAGCCCTCCCGCCAGTGGGTGCAGGTCGCGGGTGCAGGATGAAGCCCCAGACCCGGCCCGCGGGGGCCCTGGCCCGCCTCCCAGGCCCCTGCCCTGCCCTGTGCACTGCAGCCACCCCCGACTGTCTACAGCAACCTGGACGTTCTTCCTCCTCCAAGAGGCCCGAGGTGATGCCTGTTCCCCCACCCCCCCAGGCAGGGCGCCCTGATTGTGCTGTGGGAGCCACGAGGCTGCCTGCTGCCTTCCCCAGTAGTTATTTTGGTAACGGGCTGGACGTGGGAGCCCTCTGATGTGGGCAGACGTAAAATAGGCCCCTTCTCAGAAACCCTGACTGTCATTAATAGTTGTCAGCTTCACGTGAGGCCCTGAGAAGGCACAGGGAGCCACAGTCACGGGGCACCTGCTGTGGTCCCAGACTCTGGAACGGGGGCCCTCACAGTGGGTGGTTTTCAGCCCCATTTCACAGAGGAGTAAACAAAGGCTGAGGCGCCAGTCAGGGCTCAAGCCCAAGGCTCTTTGCGTTTGTTTGGGGGTGCGGCCTGTGTGTGCTCTTGGTCTTGGAGGCCGGCCAGCCTTCTGAGAGACTGGCAGTGTGGCATGCTGTAGGGGAGGGCCCTAGTGGGCCAGGGAACACCAGGAGGGAATGGGGGGCTTTTGCTTTGCAAGGATCAGAGACAGTGGAGCCCTCGAGCAGGCCTAGAAGGAGGCATTCCAGGGGACCACGTGGGCACAGGCAAACAGGTAGACCATGCTCAGAAGTGAAAAGTGGCCCCGTGGGGCTGGAAGCCTGGGTTTCCACTCAGACCAGCCCGGCATTGGGTTACGCTTCGGGGCCAGGCCCAGGGTTGGGTTGTGATCCTCCTGCCAGAGCCAGGCAGACTGGGAGAAATGAGAGCTGAAGAGACCTGAGAGCCCCAGTCCCCTTCCCTCTGCTGTCCAGCCAGTCAGGGCCCCAGTTACAGCCACCTACCCACCCCCCCAATCCACAGGAAACCTGAGAGCCCCAGTCCTCCTCCCTCTGCTGTCCAGCCAGCTCCTCGCCAGCCAGGGCCCTGGTTACAGCCTCCTCCCCTTTCCCCCTCCCCCCTCCACAGGTGCCAATGGTTCCCAAGTTCATGTTTCTCTCCAGACTTCTCTGCCTTCCTGATCAATCGATCCACCTCCCAGACCCCTCCATCTGCAGAGCAGGGCTCCCTGCCTTCCCCAGAACCCACCACTGCTGCTCTGGCCCTGCTCTGCTCGTGCTCAGGCGGCCCACATTTTCAGCTACGAGCAAGTCCCGTAACTCACCTGGGGACTCCCCTCTTCTATCTCCACCTAAGGATCCAAAGCAAGACAAGAATTTGGGAATGTGACTACGAAACACCAGCAGGCTCCTCAGAACCCTGAGAAGCTTTTAAGGTTCCTGCCATATTCATCCCCCGTGAGCTCCTTTTCTGCAATGAGCTCCAGGCAAATAAGTCAACAGCAGAAAAAGCAAACCGTCAGTTGATGAGCAGGTTCACGGCAGCTTTGTTGGTGCTCAGAGAGAGGAGAAACATTAGGTGAGGCAGGGTCAGCGTCTTCACGGACACCTTCTGCAGCCTGTGGGAGGTTTCTGTGCAGAGGCCTGGCTCCTCGTGCCACCTGCGCATATTGAGCACGTGCGGTGTGCGAGGTATCGCGATACACACAGCAGCAGGACGTGGTCGTGTGCGGTGCTCACGGGTGGACTCTGTTCACAGCCAGCGGACCGTGGGCAAGAAGCCCAGAGGCCTGGCTTGCAGTCAGCCCTTCTGGGCTGTACGTGCAGCTAAGAGCAAGCTACCAGTGTCGCTGAGCCTCAGTTTTCCCATCTATAGAATGGGGAGACACTGCGTGCCCCCTCCCCTCCATAGGCTAGTGATGAGGACTGAACAAAGTTGGATAATCAGAGCCCCCACAGACCAGGCCTGGTCGAGGTGTGGTTCTCAGCCTGGGCTGTACGTTGCAGTCATCAGAGTAGCTTTGAAAACTCTGATGCCTGGCTCCAGACTCAGGGATTCTGCTTTAATGGATCTGGTTCATGCTGGTGCTGGGGCTGCTGGGGCTTCTGGGTCTGGGGCTGGTGCTGGTGTGGGTCTGGGGCTGCTGGTAGAGGGCACAGGAGATTTAAACAGCTCCCCAAGTGATTCTGCCCTAGAGCCGAGGCCCTCACTTTAGCAAGCATTGGCATCACTGGAGGTGGTAGATCTAAAGACACAGATTCCTGGCCCCCACCCCCAGAGTTTGTGATGCAGTAGGTCTGGAGTGGAGCCTGAGAATCGGGTGCTGCCCGTCCAGGAACCACGCCTTGAGGACCGTTGACGTGGACAGATGTAAGTGGTTTTGATAAGGGACGAGGGTCATGTGAGAAACTTGTGTATCTTTCCTTGTAGGACCCTTGGTCAGGACCCAGATACTTTTCAACCCAGGGCAGAGGAGAGAGGAGAGGAAGCGAGGATAGGCCAGGGGGACAGAAAGCAGAAGCCAGGGCCTTTCCCCATTGGTGGTGATGTTGACACCCCCACCAGGCTGGGTGGGAGACCCTGGCCCTTCTGCTGAGCACCTTCAGGCCATAGAGCCAGCCCTGGGGCCAAGGGAGGTCTGTACCGGGAAGACTCAGCTGGGCCGCCTTTGGGGCCTGCTCCAGGGATCTGGGGACTTGAGGAAATCAGTCTGCACAATTGCCACCTCAGTCTTAGGCCTGTAGGGCAGAGCGTTCTCTGTCCATGCTGGGGGGGGAGGCGGGGCAGAGGAGCTATGGCCTACAGCAAAGCTAGCCCTCCAGGAGAAGCCCCTAGGTTCCTAGAAGGCCAAGGCCACGTGAGGGCTCTTAGTCCAACCCCTGGGGAGCAGCATGTGGCTCAGAAGGACAGACTGACTACATGGGGCCGGCTCCCCCTCCTCAGGTCTCCCACAGGTGCCCAGTGGGACCCTCTTCAGTGTGCGGTCCAGCTGCCCCGGTGCCCAGTGGCTTCAGGTCCTGTCCAGGGCAGCAGCCGCAAGCGCTCGTCAGGGCCGGCTCCGCTCATGCCCCAGGAGGCTCGGGCTCTGCAGAGCCTAAGGTGCCGCCTGCTCTCATGGGGCAGCGGTGGGCAAAGGCAGAGGGGCCAGACAGCAGGGATGAGAACAAAAGCCTTCCGCTGCTGGGAGCTTTTCACCTCCATACTTCCCACTGTGGCCTGGCATCCAGACAAGGGCAGGACATCTGAGATGGGTTTATGACCTGGCAACCGTAGGACGTGCATGCTGGCCCCACCCTGAGAAACACCTGCCTGGGGGTCCCTAGCAGCCTCCGCCCTTCCTCTGGCCAGATGCCACCAGTCCCTCCCTGCCCACCTGCCCCACACTCCTAGCCTCCACGGCCTCCCTGTGTGACCTCATCTGTGTGTGAGGCTTCAGAGGCCGGGTAGATGCAGGTGTTCCCCAGCCTGTGGACCTGGGGCTCTCTCTCTGCTCACAGCCACCCCCACACACAGCCCCCAGAGCCACCCGGCTCGCAGTGTGGATGGCACACCCCTGCAGCTGAGGCCCTGCAGCCCTTGTCCCTCAGGACAGTCTGCAGTGGCATCCACCTCTGACCTCTCCATCTGCCTGTAAATGCCCTCCCCAACACCATGCACACAGTCCCCGGGCCAGGTCAGAAGCTTCAGGAAGCAGCGGCTCTTGGCCAGGGGCGGGGCCGGGCCATGGGGGAGCGGGGGCGGGGCAGGAGTGAGTCTTCTGTGAGGTCCCCAGGGAGAAAGGAGCCAGGGACTTGTAAGGGACTGTGTGTGTGTTTTCCCTTTGCAGGACTGCACCTTCTTCAGTAAGAAGGACATCCTCAAGTAAGTGTGGCTTCTGTTCACCCTTCGGAGCTGGGACGGGGGCAGGGGCTGGGACCCCCGCCTGGGCTGGGTGAGCCAGCTGGAACTGAGGAAGAGCATCCGCGAGCGCAGGCCGCCATGAACTTGAGAACGTGCCGCCCCCCCCCCCCCCCCACGCCCACATCCCTCTGCCAGGAATTGGGCCTCTCCGTCCTGGGTGCCAGGCGCTGTGGTGGGTGGTTTCAGACGCTCATTTAATCCTCACTGTGACCTTGTAACAGGAGAATCCTTTTATCCCCACTTTGCAGGTGGGGCTTAGCAGTTGGCCAGAGTCATGGAAGACCTGGCCTCTGACTGCAGACCCCTTGCTGTCACCGTGTCCAGGGATCTGTCAGACTAGGGGCTCCCTGTCTGATAGACTAGCAGGCCCTCAGGGCCCTCTGGCTCCAGCTCTGATGCCCTCCTGCTCCTGGGAGGTCCAGAAGTCAAGGCCATGGCCTGCATGCCCACACCACCCCTGAGCTGCCCACCAGGTGCTCTTCCCTTTCCAGGACAACCCCTTTCTTTGGGCTTTGATGGAAGAGATGAAGGGTTGGCAGCTTAGAGCTCCAGGATCAGACAGTGGGCCAGGAAACCTGGCCCCAGCTTCCAGGTGGCATTAAAAGCCGGCAGGGTCACGGGACTGCTTTCCCTGGAGGTCGATGGGCAGGCTGGGGTAGAGCCTGGAACAGCTTCCTGGGCATGCTGTGCTTTGTCACTGTCCTGACCACTCTGTTCAGATGGGCAGTGTCCTTTCTCCTCTGCCCAGGCTGCTCTTCCAGCCTGTCCACTGGGTAGCTGGGGACACCCACGTCCACCACCCTGGAGAGGCAGGGTGGGGGGCACAGGCCCCAGGCTGTGGCATCTGCAGACCGGGGCTGCTCCCACTTGCCGGCTCTGTGGCCTTGGGCAAGCTGGGAGCCTCGCCGAGCCTCCGTCTCTCCTGTAAAGTGGGGACCATGATGCATGCCTCCCCGCGTGGCTGACAGGCAGGAACACCAGGGCGTGGTGTTTGGAACACGGGATTGGGTCTGTGGCTTGAGTGATGCGTGGGGTGGGGTCCCCATCTGGACAGGACGGCGCTCAGAACTGCAACAGCAGCCATTGCCGGTGGCATCGCCGTGGCACGTCTTGGCACGGACCCTCCCGGAAGCCTCATCGCATGGGTTCTCTGTGCGGGGAGCCCCCACCGCTGCAGTGGCCACACCCAGGCTGGGCTTCGGAGGCCCATGGCTGTTTCCGCTCTGGCAGCAAGAGCTTGTCCCCACCGCCTGGCAGCCGCTTCTCCACCTCCTCCACCCACCGCATTCCTGCACCCCGTTCACGCCCACCACCACCTGCTCCATGAGCGCCCCCCAGCCCCGCCAGCCCCGCACTCCTGCCACTGCTCTCCCAGCGTCCTGCGGGCTCAGGTGCCCGGCTCCCTGCGAAGTTGCAGTCGGCCGGGACCCAGGTTCCCCGCACTGTCACTGGGTGCAGTGCGTGTTAGCCCCCAGTGAGCGCCGGAAGATCGCATGGCTGAGGACCCATTGAGTTGCCCTGAGAGAATGTTCCCGGCTCGGAGCTGCAGGGCCAAGGACACAGGCCTGCTTCACCCCACCCCCACCTCCAGTGGTCTTCCTGGGAGCAGCGAGGCTGCCCGTGGGGACAGGGTGGCACAAAGGCCAGGCCAGGGATTAGACTAAACCTGGTAGGTCTTTGGGGGTGTCCCTTGTCCCTTGGCAGATGGGGGGACCTCCCTACCCACAGCCCTGGGCTGCCCAAATCTGAGCCCTCTGAACACTTCAGCAGCCCAGCCGCTGTAGCTCCACCCAAGCCCAGACCGGGCCTGGGGTGCAAATGGGGAGAGGACCCCCCCTCACCCCCCTCACTGGATGGCCCTTCCTGATGCAGCTTGCTCTGGTTAATTCAGCTCTGCCACAGTGTTCACACTCACTGGGTGTTGGCACTCACTGGGGTGTTTGCACACACTGGGGTGTTCGCACTCACTGGGGCGTTCGCACTCACTGGGTGTTCACACTGGGGTGTTTGCACTCACTGGGTGTTCACACTGGGATGTTTGCACTCACTGTGTGTTCACACTCACTGGGGTGTTTGCACACACTGGGGTGCTCGTACTCACTGGGGCGTTCACACTGGTGTGTTTGCACTCACTGGGGTGTTCACACTCACTGGGATGTTCGCACTGGGGTGTTTGCACTCACTGGGTGTTCACACACTGTGATGTTCGCACTCACTGTGTGTTCACAGTCACTGGGGGGTGTTTGCACTCACTGCGTGTTCGCACACTGGGTGTTCACACTCACTGGATGTTTGCACTGTGTTCACACTCAATGGATGTTTGCACTGTGTTCACACTCACTGGGGTGTTTGCATTCACTGCATGTTCACACTCACCGGGGTGTTCACACTGCGTGTTCGCACTCACCGGGGTGTTCACACCCACCGGGGTGTTCACACTCACTGCGTGTTCGTGCCCACTGGGTGTTCTCACTCACTGGGTGTTCGCACTCACCGGGGTGTTTGCACTCACTGCGTGTTCGTACTCACTGGGTGTTCGCACTCGCCGGGGTGTTCACACTCGCCGGGGTGTTTGCACTCACTGCATGTTCATACTCACCGGGGTGTTCACACTCACTGCATGTTCGTACTCACTGGATGTTCACACTCACTGGGGTGTTTGCACTCACTGCGTGTTCACACTCACCGGGGTGTTCGCACTCACTGGCTGTTCGCACTCACTGGGGTGTTTCCACTGTGTTCACACTCACGGGGTGTTCGCACTCACTGCATGTTCACACTCACCGGGGTGTTCACACTCACTGCATGTTCGTACTCACTGGCTGTTCGCACTCACTGGGGTGTTTGCACTCACTGCATGTTCACACTCACCGGGGTGTTCACACTCACTGCGTGTTCATACTCACTGGCTCTTCACACTCACTGGGTGTTCGCACTCACTGCGTGTTCACACTCACTGGGGTGTTCACACTCACTGCATGTTCGTACTCACTGGATGTTCACACTCACCGGGGTGTTCGCACTCACTGGCTGTTCACACTCACTGTGTGTTCACACTGCATGTTCACACTCACCGGGGTGTTCACACTCACTGTGTGTTCGTACTCACTGGCTGTTCACACTGCGTGGTCGCACTCACTGGGGTGTTCACACTGGGGTGTTTGCACTCACTGCGTGTTCACGCTCACTGAGTGTTCGCACTCACTGGATGTTTGCACTGTGTTCACACTCACGGGGTGTTTGCACTCACTGCGTGTTCACGCTCACTGGGTGTTCGCACTCACTGGATGTTTGCACTGTGTTCACACAGGGTGTTCGCACTCACTGCATGTTCATACTCACTGGATGTTCACACTCACTGGGGTGTTTGCACTCACTGCATGTTCACACTCACCGGGGTGTTCGCACTCACTGGCTGTTCGCACTCACTGGGGTGTTCACACTCACCGGGGTGTTTGCACTCACTGCGTGTTCACGCTCACTGGGTGTTCGCACTCACTGGATGTTTGCACTGTGTTCACACTCACGGGGTGTTCGCACTCACTGGCTGTTCACACTAGGTGTTCGCACTCACTGGGGTGTTTGCACTCACTGCATGTTCACACTCACTGCGTGTTCGTACTCACTGTTCACACTCACTGGGTGTTCGCACTCACCGGGGTGTTTGCACTCACTGCGTGTTCACACTCACCGGGGTGTTCACACTCACTGCGTGTTCGTACTCACTGGCTGTTCACACTCACTGGGTGTTCACACTCACTGGGTGTTCGCATTCACTGGGGTGTTCACACTCACTGCATGTTCGTACTCACTGGATGGTCACACTCACTGCATGGTCACACTCACCGGGGTGTTCACACTCACTGCATTTTCGTTCTCACTGGCTGTTCACACTCACTGCGTGTTCACACTCACTGGCTGTTCACACTCACTGGGGTGTTCACACTCACCGGGGTGTTTGCACTCACTGGGTGTTCACACTCACTGCGTGTTCACACTCACTGGCTGTTCACACTCACTGTGTGTTCACACTGGGTGTTCGCACTCACTGGGGTGTTTGCACTCACCGGGGTGTTCACACTCACCGGGGTGTTCACACTCACTGCGTGTTCATACTCACTGGCTGTTCACGCTCACTGGGTGTTCACACTCACAGTGCTTCCTCTGCAGAGTGGTCTTGTCAGGAAGAAGACCTCTATGCCAGGAGCCCTGGGGTCTGCTGGGGGGCACTGTGGAGATGGCAGTGCTCCCTGGAGCAGTCGCCCCCCCTCCCCGGGGCCCCTGTGGCTGGGAGGGCCAGGGCGACTGTGGTGGTCAGCACAATGCAGGGCTGCCTGTGGCCTTGTGGCCCACCCGCGTGCCTGCAGGAAGGGTGGTGAGACCAGGCAGCGCGTGGGATTAATGTCTCTGGAGAAAGCACGATAGCTCTGTTCCGGTTTTGACCCCTTCACTTTTGTCCAGCCTTCTGTCTGGGCCCCAGCAAGGGCCAGCGGGACGTACCAGGGCCCACCCACCCTTGCCAGGGGGGCCCTCTCCACTGGTCAAATCTCAGGGCCAGGCAGGGCACCTGAGGCCAGAGCCCAGAGAGGGCAAGGAGCAGGGACCAGCTCAGCAGTGCGCACAGCAGGTCAGCAGCAGAGCTAGGCCCCAGAGCCAGGGCCCCTCCCAAGGACCTTCCAGTGCCGCTCCCCCTGGGCCCACCACACCTGCTGAGCTGCACCCCAAGTACTGACCAGATGGCGGGGAGGTAACCTGAGGAGCAGTGGTTCTTTGCAGCCTGGGGCCCAGCCCTCTGGCAGCCATGGCTCATAGATAACCTCTGGGCAGGTCCCGCCCTGGCCCCCGCCCCCGGTGGACCCAGGGCACAGCTCTCCCACCCCCACACTGAGCCTGAGCGGGCAGCGCCCCCCCAGCTCTCTTCCTACAGGTGTGAGGATGTGCTCTGACTCCCCTCTGCCCCAGTGAGCCTGTCTCCCCAGTACGGGGTGCCCCGGGGTGCTCGCCTGCACGTGACTTTATTGTGCCGTGGCTTCTCCACCTTGGACAGACTCTGTATGGTCTGCCTTAGTTACTTAGATGTTCTATGTTCTGTGACACATGACGGCACAGGAAAGTTCGAAAACAGAGCCAGTCAAGAGAAGAGAAAACACGAGCTGTAATGCAGCCCCTCAGAGATCATAACCATGACCCTTTCTGTGGATAGAACCTTGTGCCGTCTGTCAGACCAGTATTGTTCCTTCGTGGGTGTTTATCAAAAATTCGTAATGTGTTGCTTTATATTTTGCTTAAAATTGCTCTTCCTGGGCGCCTGGGTGGCTCAGTTGGTTAAGCGACTGCCTTCGGCTCAGGTCATGGTCCTGGAGTCCCGGGATCGAGTCCCGCGTCGGGCTCCCTGCTCGGCGGGGAGTCTGCTTCTCCCTCTGACCCTCCCCACTCTCATGCTCTCTCTATCTCGTTCTCTCTCTCAAATAAATAAATAAAATCTTTAAAAAAAATTGCTCTTCCTTAGGCAAACTGTAATAACAGGTGAGAAGAATGATCTCGCCACGTCCTTAGTTCATGTAGTTGGACGCGCAGGTGTTCATGCCGCCCTTAGAGTTAGTGCTGCAGCGAGTGGAACCCACAGCTCTGGGACCATTTCTTTCTTTTTTTTTTTAAGATTTTATTTATAGACAGAGAGAGATACAGCGAGAGAGGGAATACAAGCAGGGGGAGTGGGAGAGGGAGAAGCAGGCTTCCCGCGGAGCAGGGAGCCCGACGCGGGGCTCGATCCCAGGACCCTGGGACCATGACCTGAGCCGAAGGCAGACGCTTAATGACTGAGCCACCCAGGTGCCCCAGGGCACCAGTTAAATTTTATTTTTTTTATTTTTATTTATTTTTTAAGATTTTATTTATTTGACAGGGACACAGCAAGAGAGGGAACACAAGCAGGGGGAGTGGGAGAGGGAGAAGCAGGCTTCCCGCCGAGCAGGGAGCCCGATGCGGGGCTTGATGCGGGGCTCGATCTCAGGACCCTGGGATTATGACCTGAGCCGAAGGCAGACGCTTAACGACTGAGCCACCCAGGCGCCCCTGGGATCATTTCTTTGGGATGCATTTCCAACAGGTTTCTGGATCAAAGGGATAGACATATTTAAGGCTTTTGATTTTTACTGCTGACGCCCCCCCGCCCGCATCCGCACCGCCAGCCGCCCCATCACACTGGCTGTTGTATCATTGTCCTCTGTCCCCCGATTGTGCACTGACGGTCCCAGTCGGACCACACGCGCTGTAAATAATGGAGCCCCCGTCGGTGGGGTTGCCCCCATCGGTGGGGTCGCTCCCAGGTCCTCTGGGAACTGCTCCAGCGGCTCGTTGCCTTGGGCGGATCCAGCTTCTTCTTGCAGCGTTTTAATTTGTACATTTTGGCAACTACAGTTTGGATTACTGATTTAATTTAATCATTGTTACACACAAGCTAGGCCCAAATGTGGACTGCCAACCAGTGCGCAACTTCCAGAAGAATCCGTTCCTCCCGGTGATTTCCAGTGCTCTGTCACGGGCCACCCTCCTTCACACGTGCGCCTGTCTGCGCCCCACGGTGACCTCCTGTTCCTCCCAGCTGTTCCCACACCCGAGGGGCAGACACCCCAGAGGCTCTGGCTTCAGGGCCGTCCCCACTCTCCTGCCTTTATTGTGCCACACGGACTTCTGAGTCAGGTCGGCAAGTTCTCAAATGAACCTGCTGCAGGTTGCAGTGAAAGTTGCGTTCATTGGGCACAAAAGTGAAGTGGTTGTCACCACTATGGGATTCCAATCAGGAAAATAGTGGCACTTACCCCACCCCCTGAACGCCTCCTGTCCGTTTACACGCTTGGAGTTTATTTTATACTTTGTTGTTTTGGGGCGTCTTGGTGGCGGATGCTGCACGTAGAAAACTATCTGGCGCAGAAGGGCTGCTGAGCCCTTTCTCATTCAGATGGTTTTTAAACTGCTTACGCTTAGTTTTGGCAAACGGTTTGCCCCCTCCTTTCCAGCATTTCCCTACGCCACCTGTTTCCCTCGCTGGCCACGGTGACCGGCACTCCCGGGCATCCCGCGTTTCTGGGGTCTCTGGTAGGTCTGTTTAAGTGTGGTGTTGGTGTGGGATACAGCAGCCTTTTGCTTCCGTTCTACTAAGGATTTTAAGCTTTATGACTGATAAAAATTGATACTTTAAAAATGCTTATTTCTGTTAGTAAATATTCCAAAAATGCAAGCAGTCGGGCAGTGGGTGAAGGAGGAAGTGGCAGCCAGCCCCTCTCCTCACTCCTGTCTGCCCCACCTGCGGGCGCCATCCTTTGGGCGCCATGGCGTGCATGCTTTTGGGGGGTTTTTCCTGTGTTCGTACAACCATCCAGTCATAAATGCAGCTACCGAGTTAATAAAAATATTTTTTTTACCTATTGATATGACGTTAGTCACAGATTCCCGAACATTCTCGTGTTCCTGGTGGAAATCCGGCGTGGTCTGAATGCGTTCGTCTTCGGTACTGTTGGACCTGAGGTACCCACGTTGTATGAGCTTCTGGCACCTGCGTGTGTAGGTGCCGTCGGTCCGTTTTGGATGCTGCCCATTGGGTTCAGCTGGCAGGGTTCTTGCTGACTTTCTGAAACAAGAGGGCAGGCCCTTACCTGTCTGCCCCATGCACTGGGGTCAGCCCTGTCCCAGGCCTGAGGGCGGGACTGACGGCGGGACTGACGGCCTCCGTGAACTCAGCGGGGCCCTGCGCCGGGAGGGGGTAGCAGGGGCGCAGGTCCTCGTTTGGAGTTTCTCCCACAGCGATTCAGACTTCCAAATTCTCTTCGAGTTTTCCTAAAAAGAAAAAAAAAATGGTCATGTCAGTTGGTCCTAGAGTCAGGGCAGAAGTTGGCCTCCCCACCCCGGGGACGCGCCAACCTGCCAGCCCTGCGCCCCTCTCCCCAGCCCCCCTGGCGGGTGCCCCTGACAGACAGGCAGCTGAGGGCCGGCTCGCTTTCGTAGCACCACCCTCTTGGACCCCCACACGTGAGGACAGTAGGGGGAAGGGAAGTTGACTAGCCCGTGGGTCAGCCCACCAGTGAGCGAGGTGCGGGCTCAGCCGCCGCCTGACTCGACCCCACGGCACCTTGGAGGGGTCGGGCGATGCCCAGGAGCACGCAGCATCAGGTCGGGGTGGGGGGCGCAGTGTAACAGTTGGAGGTTGAACGCACCCGTCAAGTACGCAACACCAGGGCGCCTGGGTGGCTCAGTTGGTTAAGCGACTGCCTTCGGCTCAGGTCATGATCCTGGAGTCCCGGGATCGAGTCCCGCATCGGGCTCCCTGCTCGGCAGGCAGTCTGCTTCTCCCTCTAACCCTCCCCCCTCTCATGTGCTCTCTCTCATTCTCTCTCTCTCAAATAAATAAATAAAATCTTTAAAAAAAAAAAAAAAAGTATGCAACACCAGCAACACCAGTTGCATAAATTGTGATTTGGAAGCCCGGTTCTGGTTCTGTGTAAAGCAAGAGCAAAAGACGCCCTTGACTGCCCCCTGGTGGGGAGTCCTGCGTGGTCCCGTCACCCCGCGCTCTGTTCACCCGCTCCCACCCAGGCCACGGGCTTCCGCTTGTTTCCCTCCAGCTCTGTGTTTCTAAGCCACGGAGCTTTCTTGTGATTTCAGGACGTTTACGGGAATCTGTGGCCGACAGCGTGCTCGCGGCACTTTGGCACTTTGCTCTGAGCCAGCTGTCCATGGGCTGGGAGGAGCCAAATGGTTGGAACCCGGAGAGTCTTGGGTTCGAGTCCCAGCCCCACCACTCACTGGCTGGTGTGCTGGGGCAGGCACTTAACCCTCGGAGCCTCAGTTTCCTCCCCTGAAACAGTGGAGAGGGTGACGCCTGCATCTCGGGGCGGTGTGGGGGTGACACCGAGTCACCCACACGGGGGACTGACCCAGAGCGGGGCCCACGGTGAGCACTCCGTAGACGGGGCTGTTGTCACCTGTGTGAGCCAGGCACGTACCTCCCCGCTCCGCTGGAGAGGGCTGGGTGGCTGTGTTGACGGGCCTGCCACGGGGTCGGCCACTTGCAAGAAGACCAGGCTTTGGGGGAGCAGGGCAGGTGGGGCCCGGAGCTCTGGGTCCACTTTGATGCCACCCCGACAGTCCTGGGCCTCGCCTGGGGCCTCACCTTGGGCCAGGAGCCCGCCTCAGCCCCTGCTCCGTGCCCCTCCTAAGTTGAACTTGTCTGGGGCTGGGAGTTGGCGCTCTTGTCTGGGCTGTTAGAGGTGTGGTCCCAGGGACACGGGCAGAGAGGCCTGGATAGCCGGGATGGCTGGGCGCCCAGAGAGGTGGGAGGGGCTGGGGACCGGGCCCAGGGTCCGGGGGCCGTTCACAGGGGCTTCCTGTGGGTGAGTGGGGGCGGGGGGACGGGGCAGCAGACGGCCCAGGCTTCAGCAGCCTTAGGCCTGGGCGGAGTGGTGAAGAGCTCTGCTCTGGACTCCAGGCCTTCGCTCCCGCCACGGACCCCGATGGCTGTAGTTGGGTGGTCCTAGACAAATGGCTCCTAGCCTCCTCAGGCCCCGGTTTGCTGAGCTGTGTATCTGCGCCCCCATGGGGAGCATTAAATGAGGTGACATGCCTAGCACATAGAAGGCCCTTACAGGAGCCCAAAGGGGGACACAAAAGGTCTGGTTGCAGACCCCTGCAGGTGGGGGCCGGCCTGGTGGGGGTGGTGCGAAGGGCCAGGACGCGACCTGCTTATCGGCACGGGGGTCCGGGCAGAAGCAGCCTCCCTCACAGGTCCCACGCCCTGTGGGCAGAGCAAGGGCCCGTTGGGGGGGTTGCTGTGTAGGAGGCCGGGGTGCAGGTGGGGCAGCATCGGCAGCTGGGGGCTCCGGGGCTGCACCCCCTCCAGCCCTTCCCCTCTGCCTCCCTCGCAGGCTCCACGCACGATTCTACGAGCTGGCCCCCAACCTCGTCCCCATGGACTACAGGAAGAGTCCCATCGTCCACGTGCCCATGAGCCTCATCGTCCAGATGCCGGAGCTCCGGGTACGAGAGAGGCCGCTGCTGCCGGGCAGGTGGGCTGGGGGGTTGGCAGCAGATGCCCCCAGACCCGGGTTGAGGCCGGCTCCACCCTCAGAGGCTCACTGAACCTGTCTGTGCCTGCTCGCTCCCCTGCGCTCTCTGAACATGTGAGCTGCGCCACGGGGGCTGCCTGAGGGGCTGTGCTCGCCCGCTCGCCCCTTTGTGGAATGGCCAGTCGGCTCTGCGTGGCGGAACTTGCCTGCTTTTTTTTTTTAAGATTTTATTTATTTACTTGAGAGGGAGAGCGAGTAAGGGGGAGGCGCAGAGGGAGAGGGACAAGCAGATGCTGAGCATGGAGCCCGGCGTGGGGCTCGATCCCACGACCCTGAGATCATGACCCGAGCCAAGTCCAAGAGTCCCACACTGAACCAACCGAGCCCCCCAGGCACCCGCTTGTGTCTGCCTTTTCAGATGATTCTCTGTCTCCGCCTTGTCTGGCTTTCGCCTGTCACCTCAGGCCATCCCCACCAACCCTTCTCAGACCTGCCGATCTTGTCAGAATGCCGCTCGGGGTCAGCAGGTCTGGGTGGAGGGGGCCGAGATTGTTTTCCAGCTGATGCTGCTGGACCTCACAGCACATGTACGTTCGACAGGAAAGTTTCCCTTAATGAGTTCCTTGCCCACAATGCATCCAGTGCCCGCCAGGGGTAAGGAAGACCAGCGTTCGGGGCACAACCGCATCCCGCTGTGGGACTTGGCCAGGAGCCTTTCGCCAGGCCTTGGATGTGTGACTCAGGATCAGGGCACCACGTGGCGTCCTTTCGGGCCCATGTCCCGGCTTGACCTCCATCCCCAGGGACAGTGAGGCCCAGGCTTGGCCCTGGCACGTGCCCGCCAGCCCAGAGAAGGGCCTGAGCTGTGGCCTGGAGGTCGATGCAGGGGCATGGGGCCCTCTGGCAGTCACCACGCAGGTGGTTTCTGAGCCTTCCTGGCTCGGCATGGAGTTGGGGTGGGGACTCTAGGAAGAGTGAGCCCTGAGAGACGTGGGACGAGAGGACGGAGTCGGGGGTGCAGCTCCCGGAGCAGGAGGCCCCGAGCGGGCTGATGATGGCCTGGGCTCTGACTGGCGCTCCGAGTCTTGCTGCTTGTCCCGGCCCCTTTCTCCAAGCCTTGGGGGCCCCACTTCTGCCTCCCACGACCCTGGCCTGACCCGGCTTAGCCCAGGGCTGCCCGTGCGTCCCTCTGGGCAGTGGGGTGGCGCCCTGCCTGAGACGGGGCAGTGCCTGTGGTGAGTGCACCTTGGCCCCGCCAGCTCTGCTCGTAACCGGGGAGCCCCACGCCCGCCTCGCGCCCCCCAGCCGTCCCCTCCCCCACCCCCACCCCCAGCCAGGCAGGCCCGGCTCTCATTCCCGCTGCACGGGCGGCCGTGGGGGCTCAGATGGCTTAGCTCACTCGTCCGAGGCCTCTGTCCCGTGCTCTCGGTCACCCTGCACCCACACCACCGCTGTGGCTGTTTCCTGCAGGAGAACCCCTTCAAGGAAAGGATCGTGGAGGCTTTTTCTGAGGACGGCCAGGGGAACCTCACCTTCAACGACTTCGTGGACATGTTCTCCGTGCTGTGCGAGTCGGCTCCCCGGGAGCTCAAGGCAAACTATGCCTTCAAGATCTACGGTAGGGGCCTGGAGGGCACCTGTGGGGGTCCTGGGAGTTGGGGGGGGGGGTCTGTGGACACCACAGTGGGGGTGGGCGTGCCCCGTGGAGAGAGCAGCAAGGAGGTGCCAGGCTTCCCTGGGGTGAGACACCAGCGCTGTGAGCCCAGGGAGGTTGCAGGTCAGGCTGCGAGGAGCCAGCCGAGGAGCTTGGACCGGGTGCCCTGGGCTCCGGGGGGGCAGGGCAGTTCCAGGTCTGGACGCGTGAGCCAGAGGCCGGGGGCTGGAGAGGGCGCCTGGGCCGGGCAGCAGGGCTCCCAGGGCCATGGTCACGCCGGCCCCAGAGAAGACAACTTCACGCAGCTGGCCTGCCCTCCCATGGGGACACCGAGCTCCAGGGAGAGCCGGGCTGGTGCTAGCAGAAAAGCCACGCAGACCTGCTTGTCCCAGCACCTCTGACCAGCCCGTGGCTGCAGGCCTCTCCGGCTGTTTCATTCTTTAGCAGCCATGCCCCTTTCGGAGGCCTGGTCTGGGTGCACGCGGCACCCCCTTGTGCGTGTGCATCAGGGATGGTGGCAGTGGGCCCACCATCCACGAGCTGCGCCCCACTGCACCCATCACCCTCCAGCCTCGGACCCCTGGCATCGTGTGTGGGGCATCACGCGGGGCAGGCTGTTGTCTGCAGCGAGGGGCGTGGGGGCAGGTGGGGACAGGTATGGGGGCACCCAGGCTCCCTGCTGCCCCAGCTGTGGAACAGCAGGAAAGGCGACTGGGATACGGGGTTTGGTGCTCAGGAGAGTCGCGGCCTGACTCGCAGCAAGCGTCACCCCCTTCCTGGGCCTCAGCTCCTTCCCATCAGAGGGGCCCAGGAATCCAGCCGGCCAGTCAGCCTGCACATCTCCGCAAAGCGTCCTGGCACCCCTGCGGGGGTGGAGGTCGATCCCCCCGCCCCGGGCCAGTGCCTGCGGGTGCCTGCCAAGGGGCTGGCTCTGGGGTCCAGCCCCGACCGGGGGTGTCCCTTCCGGTCACGTGCCTCTGCAGGACCCTGTTTCTTCATCCGTGTATGAACCTGGACCTACTGCTCGGCTTGTGTAGGCGCTGCCGCGAGGCAGAGTGCGTGCCATTCAGCCGGCCGCCAGGCTCTCCGTCACTCCTGCACGTGTCGGGGTGTGGCCCGCCGTGGGGGCTCGGCGGTGGGGGGCGGCGGTCTGAAAGCCCCCCGAAGGTGGTGTTTGATCTGAAACTTGGAGGACGAATGGGCATTTGCTGGCCCGACGGGTGGGAGAGACAGAGATCTGGGAGCTGAGCTGCAAGCGGTGGGCAGCGTGTCGTGTCACCGCCGCGAGCCGTGTGGCCGTGCTTTGGGCAGTGTGGTGCCTTCTGCCAAGTGGGACCAGAGCACGCAGCTGCTCTGTGCACAGAGACCGGCCTGGGCCTCCTTTCCAGGGCTTCCGAGTCTCCTGACCACCGCCGCGCCTGGCGGGGGGCGCTGCGAGTGCAGCTGAGAGAACGTGGCCGTGGGGGGTGAGCGCTTAGTGGCAAACAGGCCTGGTCAGCGTCCTGGCTCCCCCCCCGAGCCGCCCTCTGACCTTGATTCAGTGGCTTGGCCCCCTGGGCCTGTTTCCTCCACTCCAGAGGGAACATAGGGCCCACCGCGGGCTGTGGCCAGGAGGGCCAGGTTTGGACCTGTGACCATCGTGGGGTCTTACGGGGGTGAGTGTTGGCTCGTCGGATGTGCTGTTCATCCTGGGCCGGGGCACCGGGGGCAGGATGTCGGAGGGAGCCCCGGCCTGAGCACCCCCTGTCCCTGCCCGCAGACTTCAACACGGACAACTTCATCTGTAAGGAGGACCTGGAGCGCACGCTGGCACGGCTCACCAAGTCGGAGCTGGACGAGGACGAGGTGGTGCTCGTGTGTGAAAAGGTCATCGAGGAGGCCGACCTGGACGGCGACGGCAAACTGGGCTTCGCGGACTTTGAGGACATGATTGCCAAGGCCCCCGACTTCCTCAGGTGCAGCCCCGTGGCTGGGGCTGGGGTCCCCGGGGACAGCTGGGCCCACCGCCCGCCCTCCCCCCCAGAGGAGGTCAGCTGTGTCCTCCCCGTCCTCCTAGGGGACTGTGCCCTGGGCCGGGGGCCAGTGGGCTTTCTGCTGAGGGGCCCTTCTTCTCTTTCCAGCACCTTCCACATCCGGATATGAGGACACTGCCGAGGGCGCAGGGGCCCCGAGGCCAACCATCTGGGTCTGCTGTCTACACGAGTGTGACCTCTGAGCTGTCCAGAAAAGAGGCTGCGGCCTCTGGGGTTAGACCCACCAACATTTTCTTGGCCCTTTCAGCAAAAAATCCTTAACCAGGGAAGGCGGGTGTGGGGAGCAGGGCCCTCCCCAGGCCCCGCCACAGGCCCTCCATCTGTGCCGCCGAGCCCCCCAGACCGCAGTCCTCTCCCTGTCAGAAACGGCCCCACTGGGAGGGGAAGGCAGAGACCTCACGGGGCAGGGGATACAGACGTGTCCCAAGTGCTGGGCAGGCGTCCTGATGGCCCAGGGCAAAGCAAAAAGGGAAAGAGGACAAGGTTTCACGAGCTATGCAGTCTTTCTCCAAAACCCACAGCTGGGCTGCCCCCCAGCCCCGCCTGGTCCCCTTCGCCCCCGACCCCCCAATGTGAAGCTGTGTGGACAGTGGGCCAAGGGCTCTGTCCCTGTCCCTGGCTCTGAGGCCTGGGCACCACACCCCCTGCCCCCCAAGATGTGGAATTCTCACTGGTGCGTGCTGTCCACACATTTGTGAATTCCCGGTAGTAAAGCACTTGGACGTCCCCGTGCTCTGTCTGCCGACATTAGGACGTGCTCAATGGTCCCTTGCTCTTGCTCCTTGAAATCCCATCACTAGTGGGTCACCTCTGGGTCACTTCTGGGTCAAGCGTCGCCTTCCTGTTTTGGGCACTAACGTTTATTTCGATGCTTATGCTTTTAAGAGGGAGACACATTGGCACCCCGAATCTCCAAGTGAGCCCCACAGGGGACGTTAGGTGAGAACCATGCCCGTTTCCCTCATGACAGTGGTGATTGTGGTGAGAATCTACGGAGCCCTAGGCCCGAGTCAGACACAGGGCTGCTCGCCCTGCTCTCAGTCCTACGAGGCCCCTGGGAGGCGGGCGCTCTCCCCCGCTCTTCAGGGGGGAGGCTGCTAGGGGAGATGCCCCCACAGGTGTGAGCCGGGCCAGGGGACATGGGCAGGAGGGGTGGGGGCCACGGCGCTCTCTCTGGGGACGGTCAGTCTGTTTCCCACCTCCGGTGACTGGAGGCCCAGGCGGGAGCTGCACACCAGCTGCTCCCCCATCCACAGGTGGGGACGCGCAGGGAAGAGGGGACGTGGGACAACGCAGGAAGGACCCTGGGGGACGGGAATCCAGGGAGAGCAGACACGTGAGTGCCCGTGTCCAGAGCTGCTGTGTGGGCCTCATGGGAGCGGTCTGAGAGCCGCCCCTCGGGGCCAAGACTGGCGGAGGCAGAGGGCAGGGGAGAGTGACCTGGTCATACAGGCTGGCCCCAGAAACGCCCAGGAGTGCGTCCCAGGCGGGCCCCAGGCAGCCAGGCTTGGGGTGTGTGCCCAGGCGCTGACCGTGACCTCAGGCGGCTCGCTCCTCTGTGGGCCTTGGTCTCCCCGTCTGCAGCGCAGAGGGGCTGGGTGAGGGCCTGGCCAGCCTGCGTGGCAAGGCTGTGGTAAGGCAGGGGGCAGAGAAGGGCCAAGGGGCCTGCTCCTGGGAGCCCAGCGCCTCCGGGCAGGAACTCTTGCCTCAGAGGCCTCTGCCGCCCGCGGCTGGGAGGGCCGCCCAGTCGGGCGATGGCTCAGGTCTCAGCCCACCCTAGCCCAGCGTCAGCCATGTGCTCCGTAGGTGACCAGGGAGCCCAGGCCTCAGAAGTTCGTCTTGGGGATGGGGGTGCTGACCCTGCCTGTGGTCAGTCCCCCGCCCCTCCAGCCCTGACCCCCACCCCCCCGGGGGAGAGTGAGGGGCACTGGGGAAGCAGGGGTGCCTTCATGGGGGGCACAGCCGGGTCCCAGGAAGCCCACCGGTGAGCTGCTGGGAGGAAGCCTGGTGCTCAGGACTTGTGCTTCTTGTCAGTGAAGAAGATCCTCCGGAACTTGTCAGGCTGCAAAGAGGGAGGACATACTGGAGCCTGGAGGCTCTGGACAGAGAGAGGCCCAGCATTGGTTGGAGGCTGGGGCCCATGCCCAGGAAAGGCCAGCTTGGAATATTGCTGGTTGTTCACGAGCCTCACGGTGCCAGAAGTTCCATGTCCAGGCCCCCCCCCCCCCCCTGTTCTGAATGAAGGACCTGACTCTTTTGAGAAGGCTAACGGGAGAGGGCAAAGGGGTGGAGAAGCAAGCCCCAGCCCCTCCTTCCCTCACTGGAGGGCCCCAGGGTCCCCTAACTCCCAGAGCTCTCTGGTGCAGCAGGGCCCTAGGCGGGTGGGAGTGGGCTGGTCCCTGGCGGCGTCGGACCAGAGAGGATGTGGGGCTTTGCAGCCGGGGCATGTGGCTTCGGGGTTCTGCAAGGGCCTGCCTTCGGGCGGGGCCTCTGGTCCCAGGAGAGTCAGGACCTCAGTGGCTGCACCACACCGGGTAAACGCCCCATCCCGGGATGTGCGGGAAGGCCTTTCAGCTGGGAACTTGGGTTTCACTGCCCAGACCTCGAGAGGGTCTGCATGTGCTGAGATCCGAGGCCATCCCCATGGAGATCGGACCCTCCCTGCTCACTGGCTCAGGGTGCAGGCAGAGTGTGCTGGGGCTGAGGGTGCCTGGGCCCCGTGGGAGCCCCTGACCACCTCCCTCCGTCCTCCTGACCTCCACTTCTCCTGTCCTCCCTCCTATCAGAGACCCCCCGAAATGGCAGCTCTGTTCAGTGTTTCTGGGCGGTGTCCTGAGCATGGGAGCATGTCTAGTGTTGCCCTTTGGGCAGACTCTTAGAGATGAAGAAAGGGAGGTCCCGGTCAGTTGCTAAATGAGATACGGGATGCCCAGTGAAATCTGAATTTCAGATAAATGAGGAGTAATCGCAGTATTTGGGACATACTCTTGGGGAGAGTTGTTGCCAGGGAAACTGGGGGGGTGGCTGAGCCATGACGAGGGCCAGGGCAAGTCCAGCCTGGAGCCAGGGTCCCTTGTCCACGTGTCACAGTGGCCAGGAGAGGGCAGGAAAACCTGGTCTGCAGAGAAAGGCCTCAGAAGGGCCTAGAAGCCCCCACCTTACATCCAAGCTGGGCAACAGCCCCTCCCACCACCTCCAAGCATATGTTACTTCTGGAAAATTCTGGGCCCCTCGGGACAGCAGCAGTGACCTGGCCTGCTTGTGCATGAGGGCCACTGATCCCTCCTACCAGCGGCCACCCCCGCCCGCTGTGGAGCCCACCTTGTGTGTCCGTCCGGTCTCCTTGCTCCTGGCTGCTGGGGTTTGTTCATAGGTGTTCCTGGGCTCGGGGAGCTCCGGGGCCCCTGAGAGCCTCTCATAGCTGTAGTCTGTGGGTCCTGGCGGCTTGCTAGATGGAGGACTGGTCCCGGGACCCGAGGGCCTGGCTGGGCCCCCCCAGCGCACTGGGACCTGCGCGTAGGCACTGCCTTCTTGGTCTGGCACGTCCCTGGGCTCTGATGGGGGACCTGCTGTCTGCAGGAACTCAAAAGTGTCTGCAGAGCTGCCCTGGGAGCAGGGCTGAGCCCTGTGGCTCAGCTTCAGAGACTCCTGGCTCCAGGGGGCAGCCGAGGATCCCAGGGCCTCAGAAGCAGGGGGCAGGAGGTGGCCCCAGGGCATGGGAGGCACCGTAGGACCCTGCTCGGGGCTCACCCCAGAGAGGGCAGGCCCTGGGCCCTCAGGCCTGTTCTGGCCTCCAGCCGAGAGTGTCCTCCACGGCTCCTTGCCTGGGGAGCTGGGCTGGCTGCCAGCTGGGGCTGGCCCGGGCCTGCCGGATGCCTCTGCGCCCAGGCCCAGCCGTGCCTGGTTCACCTTCCTCAGGTCTGAGTAGATGCTGTTGCTGGAGCTTCCAAAGGACTCGTTCGGAGGGGAGGCACTCCTCTCAGGGAGGGGAGGCACCCTGACGGGGACCTGGGGAAACAGAGGCAGAACCTCCGGAAGGCCCCCTCGTCGCTAAGATGCTCTCAGGTAAACACAGGCTCTCGGCACACCGCGGCCCCGTCGTGGCTCCGTTGACCTCACTTGTCGCGTGTGAGGGTCCCCGCCAGGCCCCACGCTCCCCGAGTCTAGTCTGTCCTTGGCATTTGAGGCCAGCGGGCACCACCCAAGCTCATCCTGCTCTGTCCTCCCTCCAGAGTGGTCCACTGGCCCCTCAGGGCCCCCCTTCAGAATAGGCCATCACCCCCGAGGCTGTCATTTCCGTATTATTCCCTAAACATCTGCTGGACACCAGCTGCGTGCCAGACACTGTCCTGCATGGCAAGGACTCGATGGGCTGCAAGGCCAACTCTGGACGTCTCCCTTCTAACCTGGGACCTGGGCAACAGACCAGTCTGCTGCATGGGTTCGTGTGCCTACAGACCCACGATAGCATGTCACAAGATGGTGAATGGTCCGGTGGTGATCGGTGCTCCACAAGAGGAGCAAAGCAGGGCAACGGGACAGACAGAATGACAGGTGGGGAGGGGTCTTTCCTGCAGCCTTGGTGACCCTTCTGGAGAGATGACACGCAAGCAGAGAAAGGAGTACAAGCCGCTAGCTGGTAGGAAGAGCGTTGCAGCAAAGACACAGCAAGTGCAAAGGCCCTGGGGTGGGAGCAAGGTTGGTGTGTTCTGGGAAGATGCCAGTGAGGCTGGAGAAGAGTGAGCAGAGGGGAGGTAGCAGGGCCCCTGGTGAGGCCCCCCGTGGACCCCGGGGAAGGCCTCAGGTTGTTTCTAAACGTGAGGAGAGGCCTTGGCCTGCTGTGATCTACTGTATAGGAGGAAAATCTCTCTGAGCCCCTCCCAGGAGGTGCCATGGACGGAAAATATCAACTCACAGGCCCCACCTCCCCCCCCCATAGTTTAGAGCAATTTCAGGCATTTCTTACCCGTTTTCTCATTCAAGCCTCAGAGGAACCGTAGGAATGGTAAACTGAGGTACACAGCTGGAAAGGCCCAGCGGGGGCTAGAGCACACCCAGCTGGCCAGACGCAGGCCCTGGGGTGGGTGAGCCCGCACCTTTCTGGGCCTGGTGCTCCCACCCCGCAGCCTGGCGCGGCCCCGACCCGAGGGGCCCAGAATGCTGCTCACCGCCTCCTCAGAGAAGCTGCAGGAACTCGCATCCAGACTCTTCTTGGTGTGAAGGAAGGGGACCTGCGGCTTCAGGCAGGGCCAGGGGCTGGTAGCCTTGTCCGGGGCCACCAGGGGCGATGCTGAGGCAGGTGGATTTTCCAGGCCCAGACTGGTGTGCTGGAGGCCCAGGGAGATGGCATCATATAGATCGTTGTCCTCCGGCTGGGGGCGGGGGGTGGGTGCACAGCAGGTGTGTGGTCGTGCACCCCACTCTGGCCTCCATGGCCTGCCAGTGACGGCCAGCCAGGGACCCACACACGCCCCCCAGGTCCCCGACCCCAGGGAAGGGCCCACACAGGCCCCCCAGGTCCCCGACCCCAGGGAAGGGCCCACACACGCCCCCCCCGGTCCCCGACCCCAGGGAAGGGCCCACACACGCCCCCCCCAGGTCCCCGACCCCAGGGAAGGGCCCACACACGTCCCCCCCCAGGTCCCCGACCCCAGGGAAGGGCCCACACATGCCCCCCACGTCCCCGACCCCAGGGAAGGGCCACACACGCCCCCCCCAGGTCCCCGACCCCAGGGAAGGGCCCACACACGCCCCCCCCAGGTCCCCGACCCCAGGGAAGGGCCCACACATGCCCCCCAGGTCCCCGACCCCAGGGAAGGGCCCACACACGTCCCCCAGGTCCCCGACCCCAGGGAAGAACCGACACATGCTGCCTCAGTCTCCCCTCTTCAAATAGGGACCATGACCCCGCACAGAGTGCCCAGATGGCAGTTGTGTGCCCGAGCGGCCTCGGCACCCTGCCCCACCCCCGCAGACGGGAGAACAGGGGTGCCTACCCGAGGGCAGGCAGCAGACAGGATCTCCCCAAAGGGCTCAAACTGCACCTCCTGGTAATGACGCACGAGGTCAGCCAGGGTGCCGTGGCTGCAGGTGTCTCCCGAGACCAGGTAGCGCCGGTCCCACTGCTGGTTGATGACAAAGTGCCGACAGCGGTCACTGCCCCTGCAACAAGCCGGTGTGGCCGTGGGCGGTCCTGCTCGCCCGCCCGCGCAGCCCTGCTCCGGGTGTTCCTCTGTTACGGGGCCTGAAGCTCCCGAGCCCAGCCCGGCACAGCCCAGCCTCGTGCGGGGTCGGGAGCCGGGGAGTGGCTTTCGAGTCACCCGCCCCCAGCCCCAGGGAAGTCCCTAAGCCTGCCCCAGTGGGGCGAGGGAGGCACCCAGCGGGCCGCCAAATTCAGAGGGCACCACAAAACTTGGCAACGAAAATAACCAGCAGGGCAGTATTTCAGAAAATCAAAATCAATTACCCAAACGTCCATGATGAACAAAATACCAACATCTTAAACCAAAAGGAGGTCCAACCCTGCACTCGCTCGGTGCCCCTCGGCCCGCCCTAAACGCCTGGAGTTCCAGCCCCGCCCGCAGCCCGCGGGTAAACCCCTGCCCCCCCGGGGTCCTGTCCTCCTCGACCGACCGACAACCTTTCCGCAGCGAAGCGCCCGCGGCCCGAGTGTGCGTGCGCGCAGGGACGGGGTCCCGCAGAGGCGCCCTCCGGGGAGCCACCCCCAGGCGAAGCAGGGCGCGTTTCCCGCAGAGACTCCCGCCTGCCCCCGTGTGGCTGTGGATGGCACGTGATGGAATCACAGTTTCCGTGTCTGGCTTCCCTCAGCGCAGCTTTGACATTGATTCGTGTCTGCGCACGGTGAGCTCCCGACCCCGATGGGTAGAATCCACTGAAGGAAGACATCCACGATTCGCCCTCTTTGTTGCTGGACGTTTAGGTCGTTTCCAGATCTGGGCTGCTAGAAATAAAGCTGCCGTGGACATCCCGGTACGCGTTTGCGGCGACCGGCCGTGCGCATCTCTGTTGGGAACACACCAGGAGTAGCACTGGGGCTCGGGGTTTGCCTCTGCTTAGCTCGGAAGATTCTGGCGAATGGTTTTCTGAAATCGTTGTGAGGTAGGAGCCTTCCAGGTGTCCCCACATCCGACCAACTCCTCGGTATCCTCTGTCTTCCCGTTCTCGCCACGCATTGCGGGTTGCATTTGTATTTCCCCGATTACTAATGCTGCTGAACACCAAAACATTGTTGCCCTTTGGTCAGACCCTTTTATGAAGTGGCTGTTCGAGTCTTTCCCCTTTATTGATCATGTCGTCTCTGTCTTAGTGATTTGCGGGAGCTCTTCGTATATTCTGGCAGGAGCCCTTTGTTAGATACATGTATTACAATACATAACTTCTCCCAAGACTCTGGTTTGTCCTTTTATTCACTCACTGGTATCTTTTGATTAACAGAAAGTCTTAATTTTAAAGAAATCCAGTGTATCCACCTTCTCTTTTGTGGTTAGTAGGTTTGTGTCTTAAGAAATCTTCGTCTTTCTCGAAGCCTTGAAAATTTTTCCTGTTTTCTTTCAGAAATGTCCTGCTTTGCTCTTCTCACTCGTGTCTATGATCCTTCTAGAATTAATTCATTTTTTCTGTATGATGTGAGGTGGGGGTCATTGTTTTCCATCTGGATATCCGATTGCTCCCACGCCCCTTACTGGAAAGACCTGCCTTTCTGCACGGAATGGCTGTGAAGCAGGTAACCACACGTGCAGGTTGTGTCTGGGCCCCATGGTGCTCCACGGCTCCATCTACCCACCAGGTACCTCTGAGCAATTTTGTACGTTGGCATTCCACCTAAGACCGTGTTTGGACAGAAGGGCCCTCATGCTAAAAAGACATTTGGAAGCTGCTGAGCTCACATATTTCAAAGTGCTTAGCAGAGTACCTGGCACATAGAATAACAATGACCATTTTAATAGTGACTGATGTTTTTTGGTCCAACCACTGTGCCAAGCACTTTTCTTTTCTTTTCTTTTTTAAAGATTTTATTTATTTGACAGAGAGAGAGAGCACAACTAGGCAGAGAGGCAGGCAGAGGGAGAGGGAGAAGCAGGCTCTCCACTGAGCAGGGGGCCCGACGTGGGGCTCGATCCCAGGACCCTGGGATCATGACCTGAGCCGAAGGCAGCCGCTCAACCGACTGAGCCACCCAGGCGCCCCTCCAAGCACTTTTCAATGTATAAATGCATCCAACCCATTCAGCAATCCTGCGACGTCGGTACTACGAGGTTCCCATCCTACAGATGAAGTGGCAGAAGCACACGGAAGCCCGTGCTCAAGGTTGGGACTTGAACTGGGGTGGTCTGAGCAGGAGGTAACTTTGAATCTGATCTGAGTCCTCTGAGGTTCCCGGGAGCCCTGGCCTCACCTCCTGACGGGAAGGGGGCTCCTCCCTTCCTCCGCCTTGCCCAACGCAGCCTCCTTTCCAGCCCGGGCCTGATGTCACCACCTCGGCTTCATCCTGGCCGTCCTGCCCCCTGTCCTGTACTTTGGCCTCCCCATTTCACGGGTCCCCACGGGCCTCACACGTCCTGCCTCTGTGTTTAGGTCCTCCGTCCACAGCCTGCTTGAAGGACCCTGACCAAGTGGCCCTCCCCGGCCTACAGACGTCGCCCCACACTCCTGTGCAGGCACTCCCTCCCCAGGAACCTGCTGTCCCCAGCCCCTTGCAGCTCCCCCAGGGCCCCCAGCCCACCCCCTCTGAAGGCTGGGGCTGCGTCCCGTGGCTGGTCGTGTGCTGAGCATGTGATGGATGGAGGCGGGGTGGGGGAGCCAGCGCCCGGGGAAAGCCAGGCCGTTCGGGCTGCGGGGGCGCCTGTCTCGTCTGCGAGGCGGGCTACGGCTCCGGCCCCTACCTGTAGGACAGGATGTAGCTGGTGGTCCGGTCGCTGAGGCGGATGAGGAAGGAGCCGAGAGCTTTGTCCTCAAGCAGCTGCTCCGTCTGCCTGGGCAGAGGACATACAGTCGGCGGGGTCCCCTGCCCGTGTGGCAGCAGGAGCGGGCCGACTCCGACCCGCCTCAGAGCCCCCGCTGGCCGCGCCCTCGGGTGCCAGACCCAGCGCGCAGATCTGCAGCCCTCCACGGGGGCCTCTCTCAGACCTGCGGCTGCGACTGGTCCGTGCGCGCTCAGCCCGCAAACTCGGGACTCGGTCTTGGGCCGGGTCGGAGTCCCGAGGCTCCACGTGCCCACCCTCCACAGCAGCTCACCGGCACACGACAGCCACTGACCCTGGCCACCCACTCTCCACCTGAACGTCTCTGTAATAGGAGGGAGTCCCTACAGCCGGAGAGTTTTAGGTTTGGGGAGGTCCCCGCCTCAGGGCCATCACCGCACAGTTGTGCAGGCTGTGCAGCTCGCAAGAGCTTCTACCGGGAGGAGGTGCTGCTTTGTCTGGAGCCTGAGCACAAGAGCAGCTCCCAGGCCCTCAGCTCCCCTGCATGTCCCTTCCAGCCCGAGGCAGCTGTGATATTTCTGAGCGGTGCCAAGCATTTTGGAGACATGGAGGAAAAGCCCAGCCCTCTTCCGGTTTGGCACCTCCAAGCACTCACTGAGTGCCTGCTCCATGCAAGTCGACGGCGGATTTTGCACAGCCCAGTACTACGTGGAAGTGCGGAGCCCCTCACTCAAGAAGCCAGGGTTTCAAGACGGGGACAGCAGAGCCGTAAGCTGAGCGCGGTTCTCCGGTTCTCGGGCGAGTCCCAAAGCACCTGCGCCTGCACCCGTCTCTCTTCTAGACCTTCGCTCAGAGTGGGGGCCGGTGCGCTCGCCCAGCCTGCCCACAGGAGCGGCCACGAGAGAGCGAGGCGCCCCTCAGTCTGCTTCCTGCCTAGCCCGGGGAGGCAGCAGGGGCCAGTCTTCGGCCGGGGTCCCCAGACCATTCTCTCGGCCCCCAGGGCCCCCGCGGGGCACATGGACGGGGCAGCCTTACTTGCGAGTAATGAATCCGTGAAACCAGGGGGGCAGGGCTCCGTCCTGCAGGATGAGGGGCGCCTGTGTCTGCATGAACCACGTCAGGGCCAACTCCCGCAGCTTGGCGAGGGCCTGGCTGTCCCCCGCCTCCTCGGGCCCCCTCTGCAGGTTGAGCTGCTGCAGGCTGCCCTCCATTCTGGCCAGCGCTAAATGGAAGCAGAGGGCAGACCACCCGCACGCCTCTATATCTGTGTGCACCCCGCTCATTTGCCTGAATCCGTGCCCGCCCCAACCCCCCGGCCACCAAGCCCACAGAAGCCCTATTGTCACCTCTCCTTCCTGACGCTGGGGCAGACACCTTGTGTGGCTGGAGACACTGGGAGGAAGGTCCTATTAGCAGCCGGTTGGGGGGGCTGGATAGGGCAGGAGACCTCGGACTTCCTGGCCCCTATCCCCCAACCCCCAACCCCAGCCTCCGCCACGACTGGAGACCAGGCCCTGGCTAAGGTCCTCAGCCCAGCTGCCATTAGCAAAGCAGCGGGGTTAAATTCTATTTGTCCTCGTGGACGCCACTGGTATTTTGGTGAAGTTCTGTGCTGATTAATCTCCTTCCACTCCAGATGGATTGAGTGCCTACTGTGTGTCCCGTGCCCTGGGCTGTGGGAATCACGGACACAGACGATTGGTAAGTCCATGTATAGAACATGGTGTTGAGGGGGAGGGAGAAGAGGGCGTGGCTCCCATCACTTAGACAGGGGTGGGGTCAGGGGTTAGGGGTCGAGGGGGGTCTGGCCCAGGAGGCCAGACTGGAGCAGGCAGGTGCCCGGGGAGAAACGATGCTGCTCGCCTGCAGAGCGATGAGGTGGGTCTTTGCTAGAGATCCGGGAGAACAACCCAGAATTCGGTGGAGCTGATAAAGACACACACCGTATTCCTACATCACGAGTATTTTGAGAGCCCTATTCCAGTGTACTTGATCTCTGCCGGAATGCCGCGTATTTTATTGTGTGCAATTCCAAGAAGTCCGTGGGCGTCACCAGACCCCAGAGGGGGAGCTGGGGAAGCTGGGGTCTGACGCAGAGTCGGTCTGCTGCCAAACTGAGGTCCTGCACATATTCAAATGCAAAGAAATGTGTTTTTATGATTTTCCATGAGGCACTCTCTCCCCACCTCCCTTTCAGGCACTACTCTCTGAGGGCAGAACCTGGTCATTTGCATAGGAAGACAAAGGCGTTTTGTGCTGGAGGGGCCAGGCTGAGGATCCCCGGTGGGGCCAGCAGCCCGGAGTCTGTGTCTGTGCTCAGAGAACGGGCAAGGCCCAGGTCTGGGACATCAGGGGCTCCTACGGGAGGGTGGTCCCCAACAGCACCACCCACCGCACTGCTCAGTCCCCACCGTGGTGACCTGGGGGGACACTGGTGGGGTGGCCGTGCCCCTTTGATTCCCCTCCCCGGGCGCCCTGGCCCCCGTTGGCTGGCTCTGCGGTAGGTCCTAAACCTCACCACCTCTCCGTGCCCTCGTCTACACAAACGGAGGGGAGAAACCACCCTGGCGGGGTTTGGGGCGTCAGAAGCCCATGCAGGCGGTCGGGCAGCTACAAGAAACCTCAGCCCCCGCTCCAGGTCCCCAGCGGCTGGGGAGTCTTCCGAAGCCAAGTGTGTCTGTCGGATCGACACCTCCTCGTGCTGGGTTCTCCTCCCAAAGTCATGCTCCTCCTGTAGGACCCACACGGGGCAGCAGGCCATCCCACAGGGGCTCCCGCCTGAGGGCGCCCAGTCTGGCTTGCCCTCCTAGAGGCCACCCCCGAGGTCTGTCCAGCCACCCTGACCGGGGACCCAGCCCCAGCCCCCCGCGCCTCCCTTCCTGAACCCATGCGGTGGCAGTGGGAGGCCAACGTGGCCTCTTCAGCGAATTCTAGTGCTTGTCGTTGTTTGTGGACATGAAGTTTTCACACCCTTCGTCATTCTGTTCGTGGGCGGGGATTTGCTCCCTGGAGAACGAGCGAGCCGACTTCTTTTCTCTCACGTCGTCTGCCTCATTCTCTCCTCTGTCCTGTGCCTAGGACAGTGCTTGGTTCAGTTAAATGCTCAACAGGCACATTTAATTTAACTTAAATTATTTACTTAGGTTTTATTTAAATTCAAGTTAGTTAACATACAGTGTACTATTAGTTTCAGGGGTAGAGTTTAGCGATTCATCACTTGCATGAAACACCCAGCGCTCATTCAATAGGCATATTTTAAATTATTATTCAGATATATGATACACCCACATGGTGCTTAAAAATAAAAAATATAAAAAAGTATCCGTAACAATATTTTCCGTCCAAGCATTAAATCCCACACACCCAGGTCCTTGTCACTCCACAGGGACCCACGGCCGCTCTTCCCTGAATGTCCTTCCTGGGTTTCTCTATGCACAACCAAGTCCAAACGTATATTCTCATTCGAAGGGCGGAATACTATACGGTACTTGTACAGTGTCTCGCTTCGTAAAACAATCCATCCTGGAGCTCTGCTCGTAGGAGGACACCCGGGGCGCCGTGCGGGCCGTGGCAAAGGTACATTCCCGCCATGGCTGCACCAGAGGCTTTGTGACCAGCCCCCCGTGGAGGTCACCAAGTCGTTCCTAATGTTCCCCGATTTCCAACAACGTGGCAGTGGATGGCCTCACACGCACGCAACCGTGCACAAGCGTGAGAACACCCGCAGAACACAGTCCCCCAAGTGGGAGCCCTGCACTCAAAGGGTGCTTGTGTCTGTGGTTTTGATAGATGTTGCCAAATTGCCTTCCTTTGGGGTTGGATCCAATTGCGCTCAGTAAATATTGGAAGAGTAGGCGGATGGATGGACAATATTTTCAAGCTCAGTCATTTTGGGGCCTCCCGTTTGCAAGAAAAACCAGGGGAGGGGCTGACACCGGTCGGGAGAGGTCACCAGTTTCGCTATGACTGTTTCGGCCCCTAAGTGCTGCTGAGCAAGTTTGTTTCTGCATAGCTGCTGGGTGCAGGGGGTTCCTGGGAGATGCCCTCGGGCCTCCCACCCCGTGCACCCAGCTCTGTTGTAGCCACAGGACAACGGCCAGGTCCTGGGAACTCAATGGGGGCCTGTAAGAATGTGTTGGACCCGAGCGAGGAAACACCCCCCAACTCACACCAGTGTTGGCTCCAACATCCAAAAAGAGAAAACTATAAAATCACTATGAATAAGGGCGTATGCAAATGTCTATACAATGGAATATTGCATCAACTTTATTGAGCATTCATAAAAGATTCATCACATCTGAAGATGGTTTGGAGGTCAGATGGTCCCCCCCCGCAGGACCCCCAAGGGTCGCAAGAAAACTGCCAAGAAATTATCACCAACCGCCAATTAAATGAATTCTCAAAGCCAAATCATTCCAAAGCAAGATCATAAAAATAATATTTTCCCGGGGCGCCTGGGTGGCTCAGTTGGTTGAGCGACTGCCTTCAGCTCAGGTCATGATCCTAGAGTCCCGGGATCGAGTCCCGCATCGGACTCCCTGCTCGGCGGGGGGTCTGCTTCTCCCTCTGACCCCCACCCTCATGCTCTCTCTCTCATTCTCTCTCAAATAAATAAATAAAATCTTTAAAAAACTAATAATAATAATAATATTTTCCCAAAAGTTCAAAGCAAAAAAATGTATATATATGCACACATTTTTTAATAATGTAAAATGGGACTGTCATTTCAGAATTACATATATTCGATATGAAGTGAAATGGGGTCTCCAAAGAGTGTCTTGGACCTACCATGGTCTTAAAAACACCGCCAGCCCCACCTGCTCCATGGAGCACCCCTGCTCGGGGCCAGTGGGCTCCCGAGCACCACGGAGGGAAGGGAAACCACCTGTCAGACCAGCGGGCCTCCCCGTCTACCACCTCTCAGTCTTAGTGTCAAGAACAAGTGAACTTCTTCATAGATTATCTGGCCTCAGCAGTGACTATTTCTGAGTCCGGGCAAAACTGAAAGCCCGCAGTATTGCAGGCCATATGCTTGTGAGGCCGGAAGGACGGGCAGCCATGGAGAGGTCAGCTTCGGGCGCACTGGGAAGATCGGGGTCAAAGACCGTACGTTAAGAACCCTGTTCTACAGCTTCTCGGAGGCCAGATGGCTGCCCTGGGCCTGGCGCACCCGACAGCCTGCACGGTGGCCCGGGGTGCCCCCCAGCCCCGACAGCCAGGAGCATGGACCCGACCACGGCAGGTCCGCGATGATGCGCCAGGCACTTCAAATACACCCCATTTCCTCTCATCCTCATCCCCAGCACAGTGGTGTGACTGTGCCCACATGTCCCCACCGCAGAGACGGGAAACAGACTCAGGACTGGAAAAGGCCCGGCCTGCCTCAGACCAAGCAGGACGCGGTGGCAGGGCCTCCCCACGGGCGTGCGGCACCATGGCTTCGCTCCTTCCATTCGCCTGGCTGGGGGTGCCTTTCCCTGCTACGCAAATTCTGTACTTACCTTCCAAATGCACCGAATCAACCTTAGTAGCTATTCAGCCATACATTCAAATTTCAAAATACAAAAGAAACTCCAAAACAGACTCCGACTGGGGCCAGGGCTGGGTGCCAGGCAGGTGAGGTCTGCACAGGAGTTCGGGGGAGCCCCAGGGCCCAGGGAGCGGGTGAGGCCTGGGCCCCGGGGCAGGCAGCCGGCCTGCAGCTGCAGAGGCCCTGGGTCCTTTCCGCTCCCCGTGCTGTTCCTCAGCCGGGCACTGTGCCCAGTACAGCAGCCCACCTGCCTCAAAAGGGGCATAAGAGGTGCTGACGCAGGCCAAGCAATGAGGGGAGCAGAGCTGGAGGGGGGAAGACCCCCGAAGCAGGGCTCAGGAGGTGAGGACACTCAGCAAGAGAACTCCTTTGCTCCCCTCCGTTGCTCCTTTTGAGAGCCCCTCGCCCAGCCAGGATGCTGCCCCAGCTCTGCCGTTAGCACAGCCCCTCTGTGATGTTGAAACACCCCCAGCTCCCAGACGGACCTCGCAGGGGAGCTGCGGAGGGGCAGGAACCTGAGGGCAGGGGGCCCGGGGAGGGGCGCCCTCAAGGCAGGTGGGCTGCTGTACTGGGCACAGTGCCCGGCTGAGGAACAGCACGGGGAGCGGAAAGGACCCAGGGCCTCTGCAGCTGCAGGCCGGCTGCCTGCCCCGGGGCCCAGGCCTCACCCGCTCCCTGGGCCCTGGGGCTCCCCCGAACTCCTGTGCAGGCCTCACCTGCCTGGCACCCAGCCCTGCCCACCCTCTGTCCTCCATCAGTTCCCTGGGGCAGCCTCTGCCTGTCCAAGCCCTGGAGCCTGGCCCCCGGGGCTGGGAGGGTGGCCAGCACTCAGGTGACCTCCCTCTAGGAAAGGCAACCACAAGGTGTGAAGATTTGCCTGCACGTTTGGT